AAAATGATGACACGATTTTCCTTTCATAAAAGACCGACAATTGTTTGCTCTACTTTGCATCGAATACGATCCTACTATATATCCACATCGTGCTATACAGGGTGTCCTATGGGTACCGACCACACTCTCGTTTCTCACGAGAAGTGTGGAATGTGCAGGGCATCCATCTTGTTGAAATATTAGTTTTCTTCTGAACTCTATGTTTTCGATATCTAGTTCTGCCAAAACAAAATTTTTGAGAATTTCCAAATATATTTGATTAAGATATTCTTCCAAAAAGTAAAGACTAATGATTTTATGATACATTATGCCACACCAGACATTTACTTTTTTTAATTGTTGACTACTACTTATCAATCGAAAATTATCTTTAGCCCAATATCTACACTTTTGAGAGAAAATAACGCTATTGTGTATGTTAATTCGGCAGTAAATAAAATATGTATAGTGATGAAACAATCTGTTTTCCATCAGCTTCTCGCCCAGTGTTAAACAAAAGTCCACACGACGATCATCATCTTCACCAAGCAATTTTTTGTTAAACGCTGGTTTGAATAGATAGATTTTGTCGTTTACGAAAACACTTTGAATATGAGATTTCCTAATTCAATGTTTTCTGACCTTTTTCTGAGTGACCTTTGAATTGTCTTATACAGAGTCCATAACTGCAACAGTAGCAGCATCGTTATCATTGTATTCTTTTTATCTTTTCAATATTCTTTATATCACCAGTGGTATCAAATTTTATAATTAGCTTGCGATCTGCTCTACGAGTTACAAATACATTTGGATACTTTTCAATAAAAATTTGTATTGCATATCGATATGAAACATTACCGATTCCATGACATTTCACAAGATAAATTCGTAGCTCCAGCATTATTAATAAAAATTATTCGGTTGGCAGTTAATAAAAATAAATATACTGACTTTGGCATTGATAAGGAAATATCCATGGTAATTATATGGTATGTATGATAGTTAAATTGTGGCGTCTTTTTATTTGCAAAATGTGGTTTCATTAAAATAGAAATCGTTTGCTAGTTTAGACCATAAATCATAGATAACTCTGTATGTACTATTTTATAGCCACGAAGTGAACGGCTAATTAAAAAACTAAAAAAAAGAGAGACGTGTAAATTGATAGATTTCGAACGAATCGAGACAGAAAAGGTTCGTGGAGTAACGTTATTGATTTTTAAAACGATAGTTTTTAAAATTGGTTAAACGAAATTGTGCATACGGTGGCCAGCTTNAGTGAACGGCTAATTAAAAAACTAAAAAAAAGAGAGACGTGTAAATTGATAGATTTCGAACGAATCGAGACAGAAAAGGTTCGTGGAGTAACGTTATTGATTTTTAAAACGATAGTTTTTAAAATTGGTTAAACGAAATTGTGCATACGGTGGCCAGCTTCCTTGTCCTCTATGCCTCATATCCTTTTGTCCTCGCCAGTCGTAATAGTGTTGTATGGATGCCGTCATCTTTTCTGGTAAGTTTGCATAATTTCTTTTTTTGTTAGTCGTCATTTCAATAATTACAGTCCATCACTAGCTGGTGTCATAGCTTAATCCTAAACATGATTGTTGTTCTTTTCTGACAAAACTCCGTATTTAAGCATTTCTTGAGTTCTCGAGCAACTTTGTTAAATACAGTGTTTTAGCGAAATGTCACATTTTGTANGATAAATTCGTAGCTCCAGCATTATTAATAAAAATTATTCGGTTGGCAGTTAATAAAAATAAATATATTGACTTTGGCATTGATAAGGAGATATCCATGGTAATTATATGGTATGTAGAATAGTTATTTGCGAAATGTGGTTTGTTTAAGCCAAACCATTAAAATAGAAATCGTTTTGCTAGTTTAGACCATAAATCATAGATTCTCTGTATGTACTATTTTATAGCCACGAAGTGAATGGTTAATTAAAAAACTAAAACAAAAAAAGAGAGACGTGTAAATTGATAGATTTCGATCGAATCGAGACAGAAAAGGTTCGTGGAGTAACGTTATTGATTTTTAAAACGATAGTTTTTAAAATTGGTTAAACGAAATTGTGCATACGGTGGCCAGCTTACTTGTCCTCTATGCCTCATATCCTTTTGTTCTCGCCAGTCGTAATAGTGTTGTATGGATGCTGTCATCTTTTCTGGTAAGTTTGCATAATTTGTTTTTTTCTTAGTCGTCCTTTCAATCATTACAGTCCATCACTAGCTGGTATCATAGCTTAATCCTAAACATGATTATTGTTCTTTTCTGACAAAACCCCGTATTTAAGCATTTCTTGAGTTCTCGAGCAACTTTGTTAAATACAGTGTTTTAGCGAAATGTCACATTTTGTATTTTTTTGGTCGCCCTATATGTTTTATTACATATTTAATTACTGCCCATGGCTTCCTAAGGTAAGCAAAAGTTCAAGAATAACTTTTTCTCGAAAAATCAACAATAAAAAAAATGTTTACAAGAGTACGATAACACATCCTGTACATATCAAGGACACATTATGAAATCATCATTTTATTTATATTCCCAATCTATAGTACGATCGTATTCGATGCAAAGTAATAAATCATTGCCTGTCAAGGGAATCAGTGCAACACATTTTATAGGGGGTTTTGGAAATTGAATAATTTCTTTATGCATTATGGATTAACAGTTATATATTTATGAAGGACAAAATGAAAAACAAAGGCATCTCCTTCGCACATTGGGCGGCAGGACAACAATACATTTATTACTCCCTTCATTATCCCTCATATGACTTGTGTCTTGTGTTTTTTGCGGCGGCGCGCGTGCCGGCCTGGCGTGGTCAGTTTCGTTTCGGTTGTATTGGTGCTGCGTGTTTCTCGCTCGCGATATTTGTGAGGTTATAACTGTTATAAGTGCAATTATATTTCTTTCGGGCTATATGTGTGTTTCGCGCTATTATTTGAGAATTTGTGAGTGAAATCATATTTCTTGTGCTCCGTAACAAAAGTGTTTTTAGTGTTTTATTTGTGTGCTGTGTGTGTGTTTCGGGCTGTTGTTTGTGAATCGTGAATGCTATTATATTTTCTGTGCTAGTGAAGTGAAGTTTTTTGTATTATTATTGCTCTGTTGTCGTTATATGGATAAATGGAGGCGGTGCCTGGATGTTCGCGAGCCGGATGTACTGCTGTGGGTACAAAAAAATCTATATTAAGTTACAGAGAAAAAACGATAATATTAAATGTCTATAACCCTTTAGAAAAGGATCATCCCATGAAACTGAAGACTGGTTTGGTGGAAATGTGTTCTAGATATACTGGAGTAAGCGAATTATCTGTTTTCAAAATTTTAAGAGAGAAGAAAATTGAAGGAGACGTTAAGAAACCTAAAAAAGGGGGTGCAAAGAAGAAATTAATATTAAATGAAGATGAGAAAAATGCAGTTTGGCGTACAGTACATAAATCATAGAATTTATATTTTGTTTATAATTTGTTAACATTTCTTGTTTGATAGAAAAATAACTTATTTTGTTGAGATTGGTAGAGAATTGTTGTTAGTGTTTTCATTTGATAGAATCATATCATAGGATTTATATTTTGTTTTCATTCTGTAAATATTTATAGTATATCTGTTATACAAGGTTTTTGCTTTGAAACTTCGTTCTCCTTATAAAAAAAAGAATCGTAATGGGGTGCGATGAAGAGATCAGTTCACGTCTGGAACCCTGTTCCTACAAAAATCCCTTTATTCTCATAAACTATTTGTTTTAAATGTAATTTATTATAAATCCAATTCGTTATTTAAATTCCACATATGTACTACATTTCACCTCTGTACGCGCCACTGTTTATTGTTCCCTGCTCTACGATCAAGCTCGCCAGGTTAGTATTTGACGTATAACCGACCACTTCGTACACTCGATGCACCTGGCCGACTACAGCTAGTACCAGAACACAGTGCGTATGCGGCGGTATTTCAGATTTTACATTCAATTTCATTTTAAATTTGAAACGGTTCATCTTACGCCTCCTAAAAATGATGACACGATTTTCCTTTGATAAAAGACCGACAATTTTTTGCTCTACTTTGCATCGTATACGATCGTACTATAAACAGAGTTATTATTTTGACGTATTTATGAAGATGGAATGTTATAAAATGTATAACGTGTTCCCAAAAATCACCAAAATCATTTCCATAACGACGAAGAACATCCCACTGAATTTTCATGATAGGATCCACTACATAATGTTTAAAATTTAATATGCGGATTCTAGAGGGTAAAATATAAAATCCTATTCAGTTTTTATTGGCCGTAACGGCACCGCAACGTATAGATTTCCTATCGCCTGCCTTACCAAAAATTTCCATAAGCCGTAAAGGAACGAAAACTACCCAATTAAAATCGATCTGTGCTGCGCAAAATACAGGGAATAAGGAATATCGTGGCTTAAGGGAAAAAATAAACTTATTTGGGNTGTATTTTCAAATGGATCATTTAACTATTGAACATAAGATGGCGCAGTATCGAAAGTGTAAAATTGAACGTAAACGATTAAATATCAAGTTTACATACATATGGCTCCTCCTTGTAACGAATTCGAGAACTAAAATTTCATCAACTATTCGGCCATAAGGAATATAATACTATATTTACTTATACAATGATATTACTTTTTCATGATTATACAACACCTATGTAACAGGTGACGTCGAAGTTGATAAGATAAGTACGGTTTTGCACAAGGGAAAAAATAAACTTATTTGGGAAAAATAATGCTTTTCGTTCAATTCGGCACAGGTTTATCTTCCAACAAATCATTAAAAAAGTGTTTTCAATAAATTTAACAAAATTATTTGAAGGAAAAGTAGGAAATAGAATGCTGCATCCACTAACAAAATTTTACAGGTGATTTTCTGATCAAAAATAAGAAAAAAAGGTCGTTTGTTAAAGTAAAAATATATTTCATTGAAATACTGCTTTGAAAACTCTAAATTTTCAGTTTAACTGGAACTCTCTTTTGTTTCAGGAGCGACAACAGGATATGGAAGTGCTGGTCCGCGGTCACGTGGTTCGAGGGGTGGAAGAAGAGCTTGTTCTACGGCCCCATGGGAGCGGTGCCCCTCATCTGGCCCCACAAGTTGTGGTTGTCGTATGTGGCAGCGGGTCAGCTCTTCGCGCTGGCCGTCTTTCATCTCGTGCTATCTTTCAAGGGGCGCAGGAGACGGCGGAGGAAAGACCGCCTCCTGCACGGGGACATCGACAGCTTCGAGAGGTTCGTAGTTTGATTTCGTTAGGATGCGAGTTTTACAAGTTCCCGGCCTTATCTACTTAGGGACGGTTTATTTAGTCGAGCGGCGCTAAACGGGAATTTACTTTCGGTTTCGCATGCCGAAACACTGAAGAAGTACAACAAACTGTTGAACTTTAGATTTGAGTCGAGGGTCTGGAATGAGAACCTTTTAATGTAGGCGCCCAACTAGCTGGACTGGAAATTAAATAAAAGGATAGAATAGAAACATACAAACAGTTTTTTGTAAAACTGTCGTTAAAAGTGACATTTTTATCTGACTGATCCATTAAAACAGCATGATACGACATACTACTAGAACCTGGAGTGTCATTGTAAAGAATCCGGTTGGCTATTTCATTTTTGTCACTTAAACTGTCACCAACATAACTCCTTGCAATCACAGCTGATTTCCACCCACGTCAACTCCTGTATTAGCCAGTAACGTTGCCGATGTTCTTCGGAATGAATGGAGTGCATATGTTTCAGGATGTTCTAGTTTCAAAAACTGTGCAATCTTATTAGGAATCGTAGAAAGGGTATTCTTGCCGACTGGTTGGTCGTAACATCTACCTGCTTGATAGCGCATAAAAAGCGTGAAATTTCAGTGAAAATCACTCATTTAGAAATAGTAATTCAAAACCAGCAAAATTGCAACTTTTATGTAGCTTTGTTTATAAACATTTTAGAAACGACAAAATCCAAACAACCAAGGCGACTTTGCAAGATTTGGAATAATGTCAAAATGAATTGGTTAAGATATGTCAAAAATAAAACTTAATCTTTATTTCATGAACCATAAAGAACTGTGGGATCAGATAAAATGTTATACACCACGCAGTTAAGCATATTTTACCAGTCTCGGACTCTATTGCCAGCGCTCGCTCCGCTCGTGCGCAAAATCGTCCTCGACTGGTAGATGATACTTACCTCCTTTATGGTGTAAATAGCTATTTCTGGTGTTAAAAATAAAATGCTATACACTATACAGCAATATGCATTTTTCTCAAGATAATAGAATTATGTATTGATAAATTTAGAAATAATTATTTAGAAACATTAATACATTATTTATTTGTCCACCATATCATTTTATTGTAATTATATTAGCTCCCGAATCTGCTAACAAAGATACCCAAGATCTTCGGAATCAATGGCCAGTAAACTGCTTCGGATCTGACAATTTCAGAAATTCATCAATATTAGTAGGTCCTTCATAAGACCAAAAATAAAACTGAAGTAAAAGTTGAATGGATAAATGCTTTAAACATGGTAGTTTTTAAAACATACAAGGTGTTCCATGTTTCAATTGGGGAAAATTTTAGCGATAGAACTCGCAAAGTTTGAAAGAAAAGTTCATATGTTTTAACGCTTTGTTTTCGTTAAAGTTAATTAAAAAAATGAAAATTGTTTCCAAAAATCTCAAAAATTTCCTGGCCAATATTGATAAAACTTTTATTAAAGTTTAATTTTATGTAATTAGATTTAATTTAATACTGCAGCGGCGGCGCTGAGGCAACTAAGTAAATAATTTGAAGGAAAATTAGAGCACGCCACTGCCTTTTTGTAAATTCGATATCATTTTAAATTTTAATAATTAAAAAAAACATTTATTTGTCTCTCGCATTTGTTGTCTCTATTTGGTATGTTGATGCGGTGTAAGAAACAAAAAACCAACGCCTCAGCTTCGTCCCGCAGCCGACTCCGATTGCACCGAATGTACACAATGAAGCAAACAGATAAAGTTTCATTCTGTGGAATGGAAAACTAACAGCCGCCCCATCGCACTTTGTACTCAGGCTAACCGCATCAGTAGCAGAATAGGCTCTTGTCGAGGCCAAGTTTGGACAAGAACACGGCCCACTAACAGAATAAACGGCGATCGAACCCGCGCGCGGTGCTTGTAGGATTACCCGCTCGACTGATTTTACAATGACCGGAAGTCCGGTATCCCAGAGGATGTGTTCCTAAGGCCCCAACGTCTCCGCTTATCCGGACAAGTAAATCTATTATCTAAGGGATTTCGCTTGTATCGGTTATTAAACGCCTTGGTGGTGATCGGAGGTCCTTTCTTTACAAGAACCAGAGCAACCCACAGAATACTGTAACTAATTATAACAAGTTACTTGTCACCAGTATAGGTTGTAAATCTACAATTGCGCTGCAAATGTTCAGTAAAATTACATTGGAATTTTACGTTTGAGGTAAAACAAACAAATATCCGAAAAGATGTAATTTTAATGTAGAATCATAATAATTGTGTATATAATTGACAAGTAAAACTGTCATCTGAGAAAAAATTGCAATAATTAAATTATTTTTTGCTAATAATACACTTTGCGGCATTCACAAATACAATGTAATTTAATACAGTGTCTGTAAAAATCGATTTTTTCAATTGGAAAGTTACATAAATTCACCAAACCAAATAAAGTAATTGTACTATAAAATTACAATTTTAATTGTGCAATTTTGTAAAATTACAATTATAATTAACAAATTAACAAATCAACGTATTATCTAAGTTTGTATTGCTATTAACCGGCTTTGATGCCGACGAGATGTTCTTTTTTTATATACAAGTCGCAGCACTACGACAAGAGGAACTGTAAAATTACAATAACTAAAATAGATTATTTGTTGCTGACGGTTGGAATCCTAAATCAAATTTAAACTCACAATTTCACTCTAAACCGTTTGTAAAAATTTTCAGTAAAATTACATTACGTTTCTCACTTGAAGTATGTAATTTAACAAGTCGGATAAATATGTATCTACGTTGCACATGTAATTTGAATGTAAAATTACAGTTTTATATGCAAATAACAAATAAAAAAATATCTAAAGATCTCGTTTGTAACGACTATCATACGATCTTGATGCCACTGAGACGCTCTTTACTGTAAAATTACAGTAATCAAAATAGGTTGCCGACAATACACATTTTGAAATTGGTTTTAAATTTTAAAGTGTCTACATAGATACTCCGTAAATTACATTGAAATTAAATTAGTTTTTGCTAACAATACACTTCGTGGCATTCACAAATAACAATGTAATTTAATACAATGTTTGTAAAAATCGATTTTTGGCAAGTTGTATAAATTTACCAAATAGATGTAATTGTACAATTGTATAAAATTACAGTTTTAATTGTACAATTTTGTAAATTTACAATTATAATTAACAAATCAACGTATCATCTAAGAGTTACGTTTGTATTGCTATTAATCGTCTGTGATGACGATGAGATATTTTTTTATACAAGTCACAACGCTACAAAAAGAGAGACTGCAAAATTACAATGACTAAAATAGATTACTTTTTACTGACGGCTGTAATCCTAAATCAAATGTAAATTCACAATTACACTCTAAACCGTTTGTAAAAATATTCCGTAAAATTACATTACGTTTTTCATTTGAAGTATGTAATTTTACTAGTCGGATAAATATGCCACACAATTGCCCAGAAATATGTAATCTTATTGTAAAATCACAGTAATTGTATGTATAACTTGAGACATAATATAACATATTTCGTTTGTTGCTAACAATCCATTTTAATGTAAAATTACAGTTTTATATGTATATAACAAGTAAAAAAAATTATCCAAAGATCTCGCTTGTAGCGATTATCATACGATATTGATGCCAATGAGACGTTCTTTACCTTTACTGTAAAATTACAATAATCAAAATAGGTTGCCGACAATAAACATTTTGAAATTGGTATTTAAATTTTAAGGTGTCTACATAGATATTCCGTAGAATTACATTGAAATTTTACGTTTGTGGTATGTAATATGACAACTCGATAGATAAATATCCGAAAAGATGTAATTTTATTCTAGAATCATAATAGTTTTGTGCATAATTGACAAGTAAATCTATTATCTGTGAAGTAATTGCAATAATTAAATTAGTTTCTGTTGACAATACACTTCGTGGCATTCACAAGAAACAATGTAACTTAATACAATGTTTGTAAAAATTGATTTTTTTATTGGAAAGTTGTATTTTACCAAATAGATGTAATTGTACTATAAAATTACAGTCCTATTTATAAAATTTTGTAAAATTACAATTATAATTAACAAATCAACGTATTATCTAAGAGTTTCGTTTGTATTGCTATTAATCCGCTGTGATGACTATGAGATATTTTTGTATGCACTACAAAAAGAGAAATTGTAAAATTACAATTACTAACATAGGTAATTTGTTGCCGATGGGTGGAATTCCAAATCAAATGTAAATTCACAATTTTATTGTAAACCATTTGTAAAAATATTTCGTAAAATTACATTACGTTTCTCATTTGAAGTATGTAATTTAACTAGTTGGACAAAAATGCCACACAATTACCCAAAAATATGTAATCTAATTGTAAAATCACAATAACTGTGTGTAAGTATAACTTGAGACATAAATCTAGTATCTAGATTGTTGCTAACAATCCACGTTGCACATGTAATTTTAATGTAAAATTACAGTTTTATATGCAAATGACAAGTAAAAAAATATATATAAAGATCTCGTTTGTACCGCCTTGATGCCAATGACATGTTCTTCCTTTGCTGTAAAATTACAATAACCAAAGTAGGCTGCTTGTTGCCGACAATAAACGTTGTGAAATTGGCATATAAATTTTAAAGTGTTTACATAGATATTTTGTAAAATTGCATTGAGATTTTACATTTGAAGTATGTAATTTCACAATTACATTTACATGATGATTCACGAGTCAATCTATTATCTTACAGATTTCGCTTGTATCAGTATTAAATAACAGTAACAGTATAGATATGTTGTAAAATTACAATTACACTTTAAAGTTTCTAGAAATTTTTTAAAATTACATCCGAATTTTACATTTGAGGTAGATGAAAATTAATTGAAAAGATGTAACCTCGCTGTAAATTGTGTGTTATTATTGTGTTCTTGTCCTATATTACTAGGTATTTCTAGTCGTGTCATTGCCTAATTTTGGAAGAAATAGCGTATTATTGAAGATTTCTCTTTTTCCAGCAGCAAGTTCGAGGAGGTGACCGAGGTGTTGGACGACGGCCTGCCGGAACCCATCCCAGGCAGCAGCCACTCACTCTCGGACAGTTTAGCAGAGCAGGACACCATCCTCGAGATATGACCTGAGCTGCACCAGCCTCCGGATTTATACAGACACATCGTAGATTCCGGCCACTGGAGTGAGGCAGACAGCGACGACGCCGTTATCGCGCTATGATTCTTTTTCTTTCTAATTTTTTTTATATAGCTCAACGTAGGGGAAACAAATATGATTATATAAAGAACTTGGTGGACCTGGACATGATCTCAAGGAAGCGTACGAATTTTTCACTATTGTTTCGAATATTGCTACTAACTTATCCTCGATATCTTTGTCCAAAATAGGCTTTCTACCAAGTGTCCCGGTTAATTCACTCGCATTTGTATTGTAACTCTTTTATTGAAAACAAAACCGGTCGTATTTATTTAAATGTGTCCATCTTCTTGACAATTATATGTTATTTATTATATTACTTGATTCCGAAATTATCATTTTATAAATATTAAAACCGCAGGATAACAACAACAACGACTTATACGAGTATTTCCACGATCCTTAAAATACGAGATGAAAAAAAGACGGAGCTGAGATTATAATTGCTTTTTTCATGTCTGATAAATTGAAATTTTAATGATGTACCATCTCCCCTCCCTCCCTCCTCCCTCTCTCTCTCTCTCTCTCTCTCTCTCTCTCTCGGCGGGAACCAGGCCTTACGACTTTATGATAATTAATATCTGAATTTCAAAGAGCAGGTTTTCACCTTGGAAATTTAAAACAATAGAATGAACTGTCACATCTGGAGGACTGGATGAATGATCCCAATTTATATAAAGGATATTCTCCTTAAACAAAAGCGAGTCTTGGTACCTAATTTCCAAATGTTATGCTTCACTATTAAAATTAAATCTTAGTATTCTCTGTACCTGTTCAAAGAGTACGTTTGGAGTTTCAACATAAATTATTTATAATTCATTTATTGTTAGTAATGCAAATACGACTGGATTATTCCTGGGACCCTTGAGACCGACCTAAGACAACACATTTGTGGTCAAAGTCAATATTAGTTACAAAGTTTGGTGCATATTATTTCCCTTGCAGGACTGGTAACGTTTATTAGAAATATGCTCTAGATATATTTTATCGCTTCTGTGGTTCCTAATGTATGATTTTGCAGATAGTCCAGGTCCTCAGTGAAAATTATATTTATTAATATGAGAATGAATACAAATTAATCGATATATGGGTTTTCCGTTTAATATTCCCCAGTCTGATATCTTAAAAACCAAAATATATGTTTATGTACAGGGTGTCCCACTTAACTTTCCCACCGCACTTATCTCGGTTAGTTTTGCAGATATAAAAATTTTGTTGAGATAAAAGTTGAAGTGTTTTTTATGAAGTTTCTGTTTGTAGCAACAAAAAAAAAACAATTCAAGTTTAAATGTCTATACGACAGATACAATTTGTTATTTTTTAATGTGAACTATTACATTTTTAAATGTAAAATTGTATTCTGAACAAATGCATACTTATAACTTATTTTTGACAGTTTTATTGTAAAATATCGGGAAACGAAAACAGAGAAACTAGTTCGAACAACAACAAACAAAATCATAGAAAAAGTAATGAATATTAACACAACAAGAAAAATATAAGTTATTTTAATAATTGTTTTATGTGAGTCCCGTTCCTCTGAAAGCATAATTGATATCTTTTTTTTATTGATACGATCACACTTTCTAATGCGTCGGGATTATTATTGACATTCGCGATTTCGGTCGTTATTCTGTCAATTAATTGATTTACATCTTCTACTTTATCAGTATGTACTTTATTTTTTAAATAACCCCACAAGAGAAAATCCAGTGGACTAAGATCTGGACTACGGGAAGGCCTCGATGTGGTGCCTCGCCTACCAATCCGCTCCGTGAAATTGTTATTTAAAAAGTTGGTAACTTCTTCAGTATTGTAACATAGAGATTATTTCCCTCGGCTGGTCTAATGGAATTTCTGTCAGAAAGTCGTCTATTTCGTTTTGTAGGAACTTTAAGTGTCTTCTGGTAGTTCGTTTACAAAGTGAGAGTTGTGAATGCTGCTTTATCCATCCAAAAAATACTTTTGAAAATAAGTGGGTCATCATTATATTCATCCATCATTTCCTAGCAAAATGTTACTCTTTGAGTGTCAAACTTGTTTGTTTTTCAGAGCCTTCTCAGTCAGAAAACTTAATTTTTAGCCCTCTTTCTGCTTTTGAAATAAAATACAGGGTGTTTCATATAAAAAACAAAGGTTGTGGTCACATCACAAAAACTAAAAATATCTCATTTATGTTCAAACCGATTAAGATATCTTGAAAGGGAAACGAGGAAAGGGCACCAGTTGGTTTAACCAAAAATCGAGAAACGCCCTGTAGCTCGAAAACGGTAACAGATAGAGAGATGCGGTTAAGCAATGCTTCTTCGTTTCAACTCTTTAGCCCTATAGGCTATTGATTATAGGATTTTAAAAGGAACTATAACGTTCAAGATATTTTATTACATGAATCGTTGAAATGGTCATTTTAGATGAAAAAACCGCGGAGTGCTATTAAATTAGAGGGTGTTTGAGATAGGCGTGGAAATGCACCCCTTTCGGTTTTTTAATTGTAGCTCGAAAACGAAGCAAAATTTCGCTATAGTTCACAGGAACAATTATTTAGAGAATTGAATTTCCTATCGAAATAGCGTATTTAAAAAATTTAAAAGGAAAATGTTATGCAAAAAAGTCGTTAATAAACAATTTGAAAAAAAAGCAAAAAATTCGATTTTCTGTTTTTTTTTACTTTTTGTCTCTAGTTTTTTTTTGAGTAAAGATAGGTGTAGGCATTGCTTCATAGAAAAAAAAGTAGATAAAATTTCTTTCAAAACAAGAGGTTGTAAAGTATTTTTGGATGAAAATTGACTGATATATGGCCGCTCAAACTTAGCCAATTTTTCGATTTTTGTTGCGTTTACCCTTATACGTTTTAATTCTCATTTTTTGTAAAAAAGGAAAGAAATAAGACGTTCAAGGATTTTCATCGCATAACTTGTTCGAAGGGTCATTAAAAATGAAAAAACCGCGGGGTGATATTAAATTAGAGGGTTGAGATTAAAGATAGGGGTGAAAAAGCACTTTTGCAGTTTTTTAAATATAGTACGAAAACGAAGCAAAATTTCGGTATAGTTCATAGGAAAAATTTTGTAGAGAATTGATTTCTCATCGATATGGCTTATTTAAAAAATCTAAGAGGAAAATTTTATGAAAATAAACGTTACTAAACAATTTTAAAGAAAGCAAAAAATAAGATTTCTTTATTTTTTTTTTGCTTTTTGAATAAAATAATTTAGTAAAAACTTGAGAATTTAAGAAAAATAAAGTTTATTAATACTGTATATACAGTGTGTCCACGGATGAAGTTGATAAGAGGAGAAACTCTTCTGTTTTTGACTTTATCGAAAAATGTCACTCTTTATAAAAAGTTCTGCCCCTCGAAAAAATTAGATTAAAAAAATATGAAAATACTCGAGAGAGAAGTACCATTATTTATTATTTTACACAACATTTTTATAAAACAAATCTGTTTATAACCTCAAATAATGTCCTAATACAAATTTTAAAATAAAAATTTCAGTTCTGACTTTTACTCTATATGTATAGCTACTTCCCACCTCAAAATTGAATTTAATAGCACTCCGGGTTTTTTTCATTTAAAATGACTCTTTGAACGATTCATGCAATAAAATTGCTTGAACGTCATAGTTTCTTTAACCCTGTTTTTTTTTATATAATCAATAGCCTACTAAATAAATTGCGAAAATATCCTAAAATATGGGGAACTGATATATAACACCTATTATGAAAGTTGTAGATTTTGAGAAGGTCTTTCACATCCCGTCAAAAAATACAGGGCGTTCCATTTGAAAAAACTTGCCTTTGAAAGAGATAACATTTGTTACTATTTTGTGAACACCCTGTATGTCATTTATAAACAGTGAGCACTTCAGAATTTACGCTGAGCCTAGTACAATATGTGTGACGATTGCTTAGATTGTATCTCAAAAAACGAGTATATCAGCAACGATCAAGTGTAACGCCGAAATTGTCATTTTTTATATTAAAATATTAATATCCGGAAACGGTTGATTTTTGGCACAGTACCTATTACGAAAAATTCTATGTAAAATATAAATATCCACTAAAATACAAGGTATTCCATGTAAAATAATACAACTTTGGTCAGTTCTCCGAAAACGGATCACCCTGTATAAGTCAAATTATTTTTCTTGTCCCCCCATCCCAATTTATTTTGAAATATTTTGCCTCAATTATATTCTAGCGATAAATCAACTTTGCCACAGCGTTGACTCGCCCTGTACAACTCTTCCTACAGAACTTACAATCTCTTTTGGTTTTTCGAGATATCGGGCTGGGAAACTTTAAACAGAACACCCTGTGCGGGATTGCGGTTGAGTGGCGAACAAACAGGGTTAATTTGCGATTATATTGCAAGTAGGTGTATAGATACTTTATTTATCTTTATCATACCCACGACAATTGTTCTCCTCCAAATCCAGTTACGTTCCAAAACGAAAACATAACGCTCCCTGAAGGCGTGCGTCTGTTGATATTTCTGGAATTGAATTAAGAAGCACACTCAATTATACTCTAATTAAAAGGAGACTGCGAAAATGTTTGTACAATTTCTAGTTTGAAGAGTCGCACTTAATGTTCTTCGCTCTTGTAGTGGCTGGGTTTCTGTTTTAATGGCAACTCGATTCGTTTGCAAACGTTTTTTATTGCAAGTTGACAAATATGTACAAGGTGGATTCTTGAAAACGAATAACTCAGACTCTACCCCCTCCTTAGAGTTTGTAACAAGAAAATGTGAAAAGATGTCCCCCTTCGATAAAAAATCGGCCCGAGAATTTTCACGAGAATTACTCGCTCTGTTTCATTTTCAAGCACCTACCCTGTATATTATATGAAACGTGTTGAGTATACCAAAGTTTTGTTGCTCGTGTATCTACGCTAACTTTCTTCAAAAGAGCTATAAAACTACAAATTCATTTTCTGAGAGATAGTAAGTGTCATCTTTTCTAGAAAAAGTTGCCATTAGCGTTATCCTATAGCGGCGATACCCATTGTAGGTCTGTACTTTACGTCCGAACTTTATACGGCTAATGTGTGTTTGTTTATCTCGTTTTATTTTATTCGATGTATAAAGTTTAGTGTAATTGAGCAACTTTATTGAAGCCACAACAATATTAAAGAAGCTCGGGTAGCAGTTTCCACTTCCAGTTCATCCTTTCGTCTAAATTGATCTCGACGTTATCTTCCGAGAAAAGTTAGTTTCACTCTGGGTACCTATATTGGTTAATTGTAAGCGTATTTCATTAACGATATAACGTGGAACCATCTTAACAGAAACTCGATCACAAGCCTACATACCTAAACCTAAAGTAGTGGATATTAGAATCTCTGTAAATAAGCGCTACAAATATATTATTCTAGCTGTACTGAGTAATTTTTAAATTATTAAGTATTAATTTTAGAATTTATAACATTTAAGATAGATATATAACTGTATATACTTAATGTGCCAAAGTCGAAAAGTATTATTTACATGATATTTATACGCCTATTAAAAATTCTATGAGTTGTTAAGAAATGTATTATTATTTGTTTATACATACATATTTAAAATAAATAAATGGTTTCATAAATTTCCGTAACTTTACCCTTTTGTGTACCTCTGAGATATTAGCTTTGTTCCTAGAGCGATCCAAAACAGTCAGGAGGATGCGCATTTGATTGGAAACAACGAATTTTGAACCTTATGTAAACGTTATATCGGAATGCGCATGCGCCTGACTGTTGGGAGCTGTTTTGGACTAGTCAAGGAACAAAGCTAACTAAATGTAGTCATAGACATAAAAGAAGAAATAAACGCTGTACGAGGTATGTTCATAAAATAGTCGAACAGTATTTTTTTAAACTTTATTATTAATTTTATACATTATTATGTCTCCAGAAAGAATATTAAAGGAGCAGAAAAATTTCCAAATTTTTTTAGTGATTTTTGAAAGGCTGTAACTTCGTGAATGATGGTCGTATCGGGAAAAACAAAAAAACATCTTGAAGCTTGAAGATTCTAGTTGTGAAATCTTGAGATGAAAATATTTTTTGAGCATTACTCTGGGCGCAATCAAAAGAAATAATGCATGGCAAAATTTTTCCAATTTTTTTTCAAAATTGCCCATGGCATCAGAAAATTTTTTTCTGGCTTAATCAATGTCAGGATTTTTTAGCTTGATTTCTTAGCTTCGATTTGTTTGTTTTTTGTTTTCTGTATGATTATTTCTCATTGAGATATCGGTTATTGAGTGAAAAGTCACCTTTTTTTATCATCGATATCTCATGAATTAATTGATCGTACAGCGAACGGAATGGTGGGTTTTAGAAACTTGCATCAATGTTATTCAAGGGCCTTTTGGTATGGTTGAAAAAAAAATTATTTATACTCAGTTAAAAAAGTGCAAAAAAATTACTTTTCCTGCTGTTTTGGAAAATCAACGACTGCTCTGTAAATGTTGCAAAGAGTACCAATGTTTATAGGATTTTTTTAGCTCAATATATGCCCATGCAACATGTAAATTTTGAAATCGATTGGTAAAATCGTTTTCTTTTCTGAATCATCAAAATTTTATAAAACATTAAAGGACCAGGTTTATTGCTCCTTAAACATTGATGATGATGATCAAGGTGAAACAAACATTTTTGCCTTATTTTCCTCATAATTTCGCGTTAAATACTTATCAAATATCGAAAAAAAATTCATAATTTTGAAAAAAATTTTTGAGTAAAGATCAAATTTTTTTAAGTTTCATAGAACTTTTTGCGTTATTGTTTTACAATTTTTCGCGTTAGATACTCGTCAAATATCGAACAAAAATTCAATTTTGAGAAAGAATATTTTTTTTAATTTTTCATAATTTTTTTGCGTTAAGTATCGTTTTTACAATTTTTCGCGTTAAATATTCATCAAATATGGAAAAAACGGTGTTTTGAAAAAAAAAATTTTTTATTTTTCAGAATTTTTTTATGATCTGTTTACAATTTTTCACGTTAAATACTCATCATATCAAAAAATATATTCAAAATATTGAAAAATATATTCAATATTGAAGAAATTTTTTTTACTTTTCAGAATTTTTTGCATTCTTTTATACAATTTTTCGCGTTTTATCAAAATCTTGAAAAAAACAAAATTTTTCAGATCGAATTATTTTTTTTACAATTTTTTGCATTAAATACTCATCATACATCGAAAATACACTCAAAATTTGAAAAATAATTCAATATTGGAAAAACAATTTTTTTTAATTTTTCAGAATTTTTTGCGTTATCAATTTACTATTTTTCGCGTTAGATACTGATCAAACACAAAAAAAATCAATTTTGAAAAAAAATTATTTTTTTTTAAATTTAAAATTTTTTTTTAATTCTTTTTTACATTTTTTGCGTTAAATGCTCATACATCGAAAAAAAATATTCAAAATTTTGAAAAAAAAAATTTTTTAATTTTTCTGAATTTTTTTCCGTTATTTCGTTTACGATTTCAAATTTAATACATACCTATTTCAAATGTCGAAAAAAAAATTTTTTAACTGAAAAGATTAAAATTTTGAAAAAAAATAATTTTTATTTTCGACATTTGATAAGTATTCAATGTGAAATTGTGAAAAAAATGGCGCTCTTTTGTCTTTCTCGATACGACCATTATTCACAAAGTTGCAGCCTTTCAAATATCACTAAGAAAATTTGAAAATTTCTCTGCTCCCTTAATTTTTTTGCTGACTATGTAGATGTTACAAATACGACAAACAAAATAAATTTGATTGATTTGATATGGCATTCATATCAAATTAAATTCAGTCGTTAAATATAAAGGATAAAGGAATGATAAAATAAATGTATAAAATCAAATGGTAGTAATTGAATTTGTTTTGTAAAAAAAAATATTTAAACGTCCCACAAAGCACCGATTTCGTATAAAATTAGATGGAGTTCATAAGAAACCTTCCAAATATTGATCAAACAAAATAATTTAAGAAGTTCCAGAAATACCTCCTACAAAATGGGTCCACCACTGTATCAATCCGGGAAATATAAGGTCAGATCAATCTCTAAAATCAGTTACCACAAAAACGTAGTGCTTGGTAAAATAAAGATGTTACAAAAATGCACATTTTTAGCTACGTCTAAGTATGCATGGAATCGTCAAAAGTCGTATCGTATATCCATGTATTTCTGGTAAGTACTCATAAGTACCTAAGTAGTAGAATTTAGTGAATATTTATTTTTTATTAGTTAAATCCTATAGGCAATATACCTATATGTTAGTGTCTTACCCATGTCTCAAAGCTAATAGTGACGCTTTAACTGCCTGCCTACAAATTAATGTAGGACAGGAATTTTAAATTTGATTGCTTAAAATTAAATTTCAAATAATATACATATACTAAGTGATTCAAGATTTTATGGAACAAACTGTATTTTTACTACAGCGTATTTTGTTATAATAGAAAAGAAAAAAATAAACATATATCGAAGAATGCTTCGTTTTTGAAATACAGCTTAATAATGTAGGTACCTACCTATATGTTCAAAATCATATCTCTAAAAATAAAGAAGACGCGATTTTGAAATTAATAAAGTAGTTTTTTATGGAAAGTTGAACAACTTGAGATGTAACGGCTGCAATAACAATAATGTAAACTTAAACCAACTACCTAAAGCAGAATATAAATAACCCTAAATATTAAACAATCAGATTCCGAAATTCCCCTAGAAACAGATATTATGTATGTCGAGGTAGATCCCATCGAGTATTCCATATTGAAAAAATATTTGGTGTTTGTACTTGTTATAATTATTCCTAAGAGAAATTTAATAATGATCCCAAAATAATTGCCGTACCCAACAAATCCCCTTGACTGTTTGTTCTCTTGTGAATTATTTTTAATACAAGTAGATATTCGCAGAACAAATATTACTCTGGTTCCGATAATACACTTCATTTCATTGATATTGCTCCAACAGCCGTCCACTAATAAATCATTATAAATCGTATTTAATTGGTTTCTGCTTTCCTGCAAATGAAGGCACTTTGTGCAAGGCTCTACACCCTAAACGTAGCCACTGATCCAACCCTGTTAATAATTGTACTGGCAGGAAATTGAGGGATTTGAGGGTACCTGTTCAATATTCAATAATAATTGAACCATATGTTTTAGAAACACATATGAATTTTAATTTTTAAATTAACATATTAAATAATTTATGGTGTTAATATTTTTATATGTAATGTAATTTAAGATGGATTAGTGGCTCCCTCGCTTAGTAGAACTTCAAAGTGTAAAGATACGTGTAATTCCAACTCAAATCGATAAAGTCGCAATCCTTAAATTCCTCTATTTTCATAACCTCATAACCTCCATTACATAGTGTCATATTTTTCTAATGCCTTGTCATTTTTTAATCTAATTTACGTATATACAAAATCATAAGTGACCGTCTATAATGAACTAACACACACTAAATAGGTAACGCCTTAACGAATATTTTATCTATGATAATTAACAAATTTAAAATAAAAATTATTGGAATGTTCTAGACATGTCATTTTGAGTGAAATGTTTTTATCTATATTTCAGTTGTATCAGTACGAGCAATGAAACTTGTTTATTTCTTGAATAGATAACAAACAGAACAATGTTTGCGTGGGGAAGTACAATACACGGAGAATTGGGATTGGGTGGCATCGAAGATGAACATATTCTAACCCCGAGGGCCTTGGACTGGTACCTAGCCAATACTGTGATCTATGCAGCACTAGGAGAGAATCATACACTATTTTTGACGAAGGAAGGAAAAGTATATTCGTGTGGTAGCAATGACTATGGTCAGCTGGGTCACGACCAGCCTAGAAAAAGGCCACGTATGTCTCTCTTTAGTATGTAATATTTTGCTTATGTGTGTTAACTCTAAGTTTAGTGATTTAGTAAATACTAATCCATTATCTGTGGTTAAGTGCAATTTTTATGCACACGGAAAAGTCGGAACTTAATGTGCAAAGTAAATGACGTTAAATAATCAATATTTATGTGATGTAGTACTTATTTAAATATAAAAACATTCTTTTAATGTGGTTAACAATTTGTTAATGAATTCAGGTAATTTTTTATGAAACAAATTTAGAAATGAATGAAGATATTAATGTAGTACCTACAAATAATGAAAATTATTTATTTATCATTTTTAAGTAAACTTTATTGAGTTGCAATGCACGATAGACTAGTATCACACCGTTTGTACAATTTTTATTAGAATAAATACTTTAACAACCAATGCACAATTCATATAAATGTAACACAAATATCGAAAGTGAATTGAAGGAAACAGTGTTCTCGTTTGAATATGTGCCTATTGGGGGTTTGTTCGCATCAGTATACTAAAAATCGCTGATAAAATGGACTGTATAAATTTCCCTTATTGTAGAACCCGTCACTGGGCTAGATGCCCACGTTATTACCCACGTAGCATGCGGTTCCATGCATTCAATGGCATTGAACCAGTGGGGCCAAGTGTACTCTTGGGGCTCCGATTACCACGGCCAGTTGGGGCTTGATATCGGAGAAAACATTCAAGCCACACCGAAATTCGTTCGTGCCTTAGGAACTTATCACATTCTGCAGATATGCTGTGGACAGAGACATTCGTTGGCCCTGGCAAATAGTGAGTAAAATAATTTAAAAAATGAAATCATGAATGTTTATCTGGACTTTCCAGTGTTATCAGTTTGCAATGTGTGAATGTTTGAACGGGGTCTGAAAATAAACTGAAAACTAAAACAAGTACATGTTTTAATTGTCAGTGTTGCGAGAAACAACTACTCCGAGGGCTATATGCCCCTACAGGCGTTGAATGGCAAATTTAGGAGTCAGCACGACAGATGGAGTCATTTGCGCTCCCGCGTACGACATAAAACAAGTACAGTCAAAGCTCCTTATTCGTAGTTACCGTATTCGCGGATCCAAAACTAACGATACATGTTGTAGTTTTAGAATAATCTATATTTTTTTGTCAAAATTAGGTATTAAATTATTTATAAACAAACAAATCTTAGTGTCGTGAAGCCGAAAGTCCTTTGAGAAAAGCCGCTGCTGACGCCGCCCGCTTACACGTACCATTATGGCCTTTGATAAATGCCGCCTGCATTGCGATTGGTGCCGAATCTTTTGATTCATTGGTTCAATTTTTCATCCCTCCGTACAATATAATGTTTTATTCACAGTTTCTAAATTATATTTCTCAGCTGACGTTGTGCAATGATGTTAACTTTATGAAAAATTTCCAGCATATTGCCCCAGCGCATCGAGATATACATGTATTTCAACGATGGAATTTTGCAGGTGGGGAGATATTGGCGTGGGGTGCAAACAATTTTGGTCAACTCGGCCTGGGCAACCTCTCGTCCAGCGAGGTGAAGCCGAAAGTTATACATTCTCTCACGGGCATTCCTGTAGCATTTATCGCTTGCGGCGCAAACCATAGCTTTGCGATATCGAAATCTGGTGCTGTATACGGATGGGGTTGGTAAAACTCGCAGGACCGTTTAAAAAATGTATTGAAATAAACTTTTTTAAGGAAAGAACACCCGTGGTCAGCTAGGCTTAAACGATACCAACAATAAGATGTTCCCGACGCAGTTACGTACCTTGAGGAACATCAGGGTAAGGTATATTGCCTGCGGGGAGGAGTTTTCTACGTTTCTGACCATGGACGGGGGTGTGTTCACTTGCGGTGCGGGTATGTTTGGGCAGTTGGGTCACGGTTCAAATACCAACGAGATATTACCGAGACAGGTTGGTAATCGTTATTTATTTTCGATCCGTGATATACGTGAAAATATTTTAGGTGGTGGAATTAATGGGTTCGACGATAACCCAAATCGCTAGCGGCAGACAGCATTCCTTAGCTTTAGTGCCATCTAGGGGTAGAGTGTACAGTTTTGGTATCGGCGGTTCTGGACAGCTGGGGCTTCGGAAACCCACCAGCTCGATGACACCGCAGGTGGTGCTGGGGCCGTGGGTGTCGCCTAGCGGTATTTCGCTCGTTCCTACTCCCGGAAATAACCAGAATTTTGTCATTCACAGAATATTTTCAGGTGAGTTATATATATGGACAAATTTTAACAATAAGATCGTTGCCACAAATGAAATTCTATATAAAACGTTACATAAACAAAATACATACGAAATAAAGTTAATAATGTGACGTTGGACAAGTTTTCACCGTTTTCCAAAAACAAAAAAATTGTAGTAACTAAACGGCAACTTATAGACATGATGGTCGTATCACGTCTGCTATCCTTATTATAATTCTTCTAGGTGGGGATCACTGTTTCGTATCTGTGGTAAAACAAAACAGCGACATACCCCCGTACGATTGCAGGGAGTACAACCCCCAAACGCAAATTTTGCACCTCACTCAGGATTACGTGAAGAACTTGTTGAGGACACCGGGTAATGTTCAAGTCGAACAGGAAGTCCTCTCGTTTCTAGAGACTGTATTTAAGAGTTTATCTTGCCTTAACGGGTCGTTCTTGTTGAACGACGAGAAACACTACTACTGCAGCAGCAGGCACCACGGAGTGAATTTAGAGGAGGCCGAGGGGACGTTTTCCTTGATAGGGAAGATCGAAAACAACAGCATAAAAGACTTGGTACGTTTTTTAAATTTTCGTCGCTGTTTTTCTTATTATTTTCTGGATTTGCAGATTTGGAACTGTATCACGGAAAACATTGTATCTCAACTGAGCCCGTCGCCACCTGACGTCGAAGCGCTTCGAATCTACCTCACTTTGCCTTTGTACCACGAATTCAACAACCCGAAGCAGCACTTAAGGCTGCAGAAGCCCTTCGTGAAGGCTCTGCTAGGCTTGAAACAGCCCGCCAATAAAGTGGTAGGCAGCTGGTACAGTATGACGAGCTGTGATTACTTCGAACGCTTGATTAATGTGTTTAAGAGCGTCGCGGTGTACATTTTGTCAAACCAGAAAATTCCACAGGGGCAGGTACGTCCATATTTTGTATTTTTTTTCTTTCTTTTTATTTTATATTTTTTTTGTGTTTTACTTTGTTTTTTGCATCCCTTTTATTATTATTTTTTTTTCGAATTTACTGTTAAGTAATCTTTATTCTTGCAATGGATTTGTATTTCCCGTCACCCTTCCTTGTAATTACTTTTTTTTCTGTTAGGCAGACACTGTATAAATAAATAACTTATCATTTTGAGTGTGTAAAAACTAACGTAGTGTGTCGATGAGGACTGACAAGTCTAAATTTTAATGTAGGAATCATTTGTTTTTCTTTTTCCTTGTAGACGGCCTTCTATGATCCTAGTCTAGTGGCAATGTTAGATATTTTAGCGTATTTGAACAAATTGAATCACAGCGTAGACGGTCTTAGGGTACCTTATGATACTTTCCATATAATAGAATTATCCGAATTTATGGATGTGAGGGTCGATTATGTTTACTGGCTCTCGGATCCTGGAGTAAGTGATATTTGTTTTATATTTAACGAATCTATTAATTATATTTTCTTAGAATTTATTTCACAATTACGAGCCCCCAACAATTAAATATTCCGATGGTCAATAACTTCGTCAATAACGGTCAATAATTCCACCCTTGAATAAACATTTAGCACAAACAATTTAATACTCACAGTTTACAAATTTTGACAACTTCGACACTTCTCAAAAGGTGGTGGATTACTAAATCGTAAATAAGCTCTTCCAACTGGACATTTACTTGTCGTCACATTTTGTGGCGTTGGTTTAATTCTCATTGTAGCTTAACTTTTTAATTAGGCTCAATTTGGAGAACAAAACTTTAAAAATTGCATCAAATTTGTAATAAATAATGTTCCGTCCGAATATTTAGTTGTTAGGACTCCTATATTTGCTGTAATTTTTTAAGGCAGGATGTATACCCATCTAGAATACCGAAAAAACAGAATTATTCGGAAATTCCACAGTTTTAGAATTTCTCTAATAGTCCAATTAAATGGATCTTTAAATTGCAATTTTGGTCAACTTGCCTGAATTTTTTATATAATTTAGTTTGGAATACACAAGGTGTCCCATTGTACGAGGCCGCATATTTAAAGAAAAAAATATTTTGTCAGGTCAGAGTGTGGTGACCTTGAAGTAAATTTCAAGGTCAACATTGATTTTTGGTGCACTCTGACGAGAGAACAGCATTTTCGAAAAAATGCTTCATACAAAAGTTACAAACTTTTTCCCGCAGAATATGAATCTGCAATAAAAAATATGGGTTTCCATTTAAAAAATATATATTTCGAACAAAAGTTGTCAGGTTTCGAGGGGGTCAAAGTGTGGTGACCTTAAAGTCAGATTCAAGGTCGTTATTTTTTTAGCGCACTTTGACAAGAGAACGAAGCATTTTCGAAAAAATGTTTCATACAAAAGTTATGGCACTGAACAAATATGCAATAAAAAATATGAGTTTCCATTTAAAAAATCAAGGTTGACCTTGAAATGACCTTGATAATTGACTTCAAGGTAAAATTCAAGATCACCATAATTTGACCCCCTCGAAACCTGTTAACTTTTATTGGAAATATTTTTTTATAAAAGTCAAATTAAAAAAATTATATGGCCTGCTACATTAAAATGGGACACTTGTGCAATAACGATAGGTAAAATAAAATTGAAATTAAAAGAGAAAGAGCTAGAAGAAAAAGTTTCTTATAAAGAAATTGTATAACATAAAATTTTACATACTGGCAACAGAACGAAGCATTTTCAAAAAATGTGTCGTACAAAAGTTATGTAATTTTTCCCGCAGAATACGAATCCGCAATAAAAATATGGGTGTCCATTTAAAAAATCACGGTTGACCTTGAAATTGACTTCAAGGTAAAATTCAAGGTCACCATAATTTGACCCCCTCGAAACCTGATAACTTTTGTTCGAAATATTTTTTTATAAAAGTCGAATTAAAAAAAGCTATGCAGCCTGGTACATTCAAATTAGACACCTTGTGTAATAACAATAAGTTAAATAAAATAACTAAAATAAAATTAAAATTAGAAGGGGAAGAGCTAGAAAAAAAGTTTCTTATAAAAAAAAAATATACACTACTAAAAGTAAAAAAATATATAAATCTATTTCACTGAAAACAGAATTTATGTTTTTTAGAGTAGATTGAAAAAAAAACTTTTAAAATTCATTCATTTATTTGCTCGTTGCGATTTTTGTAAACTTTTCTTTCTGGCTCTAACTACCCCTTTGAGTTATCTCGAAAAAACACTTTGTTTTATTTTATTTCACCCCTGGACGAGGGTTGGAAAAAAATTACTGTCACTTATTGTTATTGTATACCTCAAACATACCAAATATTCAGACAAGTTGACCAAAATTGCGATTTAAAGGCTTATTTAATTGCACTATAACGCCATTGATTTTGATTCTATTTGTATCATATGTGTGTCGATTGTTTTTAAATTACATTTAATTCTGTTTTTACGAAAAGATAGGCGTTATTTTAATCATCTGAAACTAAAAATAATACATTTGTTGAAAATATTTAGACTATTGGAAAAAATCTAATAGCCTTCATTTATTTTGACTAAATTTTAATTTCCTGTAAAACTATTAAATCGCAAATTCATAGCTACTTTTTATTTTTTCTAATTTAAAAGAAAAAAATAAGAGATACACATTATTTAAATATTCGATTTTATTTAATTTAGTTGATATCAAGAAACAATAACATTTATTATTGGAAAAATCATTAACATAATTTATAAAATTGAAATTAAAAATTTTAACCAATTACCTTAAATTAAAAAAAAAAAAATAAGATTTATTAACTCTAATGAAATACAGTGTCCAGAAGTTAATACAACAAAATTTGGTCATAGATTCTTAAGACAAATTTAGAGGACCCGTATTTTTTCTTTTTGACAACTAGCTTCTCTTTCGGTGTTACAGCCACCTGAAATCTGCCCCTAAAAATAATCTTATTTATATCTCAGAATCATGTTGTACGAGAATCACTTTTGGTACACAGGGGTTTTATGACATGTGGAATCTAATAGTGCTACGCTTTTTAACAGGGAACCCCCTTAAGATCCTTTTTCATGGGCCCCCTTGTCTTTGGAAACAAAAAAATTTGGTCGCAAATTTGAATTTTTTTAAAATTATTAGTTAGCCATTGAATTTATAAACTTCTTTGTCACTCGATTTTTTTTTACTTCGTAAAACGCCATGTTTTTGAGGAAAATGGCGAATCACGATATGCATTTGATGACATTTTAACATTTTTCTCGAAAACATTGCGTATTACGAAAAAAGTATCAAGAGACAGAAAGCTTCTAAATTTAATGGGTTCTAGCGGACTAATAATAATTTGTAAGAAATTTAAATGTGACCAAATTTTTTTTTCCAAAGACAAGGGAACCCGCCAAAAAGCGTAGCACCATCAGATTCCACGTCACAAAACCCCTGTGTACCAAATTTAGTGATTCTCGTACATGATTCTGAGATATAAAAAAGATTATTTTTAGGGGTGGATTTCAGGGAGCTGTAACTCCGAGAGAGGGGGCCACTTGGCAAAAATAAAAAATACGGGTCCCCTAAATTTGTCTTAAGAATCTGTGACCAAATTTTGTTGCATTAATTTCGGGACACCCCGTATAGAAAAAATTTAATATTTTTTAAAAGTAGGAATTTTTAAATTTTGGTTTTAAAATTGTTTAGCATTTTCTCTGAAACTAAAAATTATATGGTAAAAATCTACCCTTGTCAAACAAAAGTCATTGACAGTAAACATTTTTATCAGTCTCCGCATATCTTTCAAAATGATCATACGCGGGAGGCACCGACAAAAAATTTTGGAACGCTAGTCACTGAAAAATAAAAATTGATACAGAACCTCCTCAAACGAGAATCTTTTGGTCAAAATTGGTATACACCCTGTCAGTGCCATATTTAAACACCAAAATGTATCGTGATATTGTTAAACACAATTTTTTAGACAGGAAAACTATTTTTATGTAACTACCCGTTCGTATTTGACGCTCACGCTAAGCTGCAGCTGTTAGAAACAGACCAGTCGATTCAAGTAAGTACCAGAGACGGTTTTAGCATTTCTTGACTCACAATTGTATCTCACGTAAGTCACGAACTTAACCGTCTCTCTACAGATGCAAAAAGCCATGAGCGACGCTGCGCAGCAGGCATTCCTGTCAATGCTGATCTCGCCCCAGGGCATGCACGCCATTAACCAGTTCCTGGTGCTGAACGTGACCAGGGATCATATCGTAGACGATGCACTTAGGGAACTTAGTCACGTCAACCCCTCCGATCTCAAAAAACCTCTAAAGGTACGAAATATCGGGACGTTGAATAAGTTCTCGCTGTTTTTTTTTCGTGAAAATGTATGGTTTATCTAAAAAAAAAATAGTAAAAAAAACATGTCGCTGAAAGTATTATCCATCGGTTTTTTCCCATTTTTCTGGTACCATTTTAATTCCACGTCATAAAACGACACGTCTTTTGAGAATATCCAAGAGTATTCATTTTTTGGCGTTTTCATATGAATGGAATTGCTGCTCAGCTGTTCAAACATGCAAAAACGCAGTTCGACGTCTTTCGGTTTCAACTTATTCTCAATGCTTTCAAACGTTGCAAGTTCTGGTAGCGCCATCTGTTGGAAAACAGCAAGAACTTACTCAACGTTTCTATAATATTTCTAATTAGCAAATATCGTGGTGTGTTAGAAAGAGACGATCGAAGCTTCGGGTCACGTCTGATTTACATTTTGACGATTTTAGGTTAAATTCTGCGGCGAGGAAGCGGAAGATGCCGGCGGAGTGACGAAAGAATTCTTCCTGTTGCTCCTCCGGGAAATCTTAGATCCGAAATACGGCATGTTCAAGGAATACGAGGAGACTAGAACGATTTGGTTCGCGGAGAATTCTTTCGAGGATAACGACGTTTATTTCCTCATAGGTATCTCATCGTTTAAATTACATCGTTCCAGATAACGCCACGTCATTTTCCAGGCATGATTCTGGGCTTGGCAATATACAACTTCACCATAATCGACATACCGTTCCCTCTGGCGCTGTACAAGAAACTCCTCAGCGAACCGATAGGCCTGTCCGACTTAAAAGGGCTCTCCCCCATGATGGCCAACTCCCTACAAAGCTTATTGGACTACGAAGGGAACGACATGCAAGACGTTTTCAGCCTGTCGTTTGACATATCTCGCGACATGTTTGGGGAGGCCGTGACCATTCCTCTGAAGCCCAACGGATCGAATGTACCCGTCACGCAAGAAAACAAGCGAGTTTTAACCGTTAATAACGCCCATCCTTTAATAAACAAGCCGTTTTTCCTTTCAGGCAGGAATACGTCAACCTCTACATTAACTACATCTTCAACGAGTCCGTCAAGCACCAATACGAGGCCTTCCACAAGGGCTTCATGAAGGTCTGCGGCGGCAGAGTGCTGCAGCTCTTCCACTCGCACGAATTGATGGCCGTGGTGATCGGCAACGAGAACTACGACTGGCACGCCCTCGAGGAGGCTGCGGAGTACAAGAACGGCTACAAATCTTCGGACCAGACGATCAGGTGGTTCTGGGAGGTGTTGCACGAGATGTCGTTGACGGACAAAAAGAAATTTCTGGTGTACCTGACGGGCAGCTACAGGATACCCATTCAGGGAATGAAGGCGATTAAGGTAAGTGTATTCTTTCACTTATGTTTCACTGTTGGACTCTATAAATTCCTAATAGGTTATAAAAATGTGCGCCTCAGGGATCCAAATACACCATTGGCTTGACTTCTGTCAACCATTCAGTAATAAACTAAATACATTCTAAAAGCTGTAACAAATCCATTACATTTGAACTACTGTGAAGATCTTACATTTATTGAGATTTGTACTGTTAACATATTGGGTACATTTGAACTACTGTGGTTAGAGTGTAGGCCTATATTATTTTCATAACCTATATTTCGCGTTTTTTGGTAAAGTAGGAAACGTTTTATTGTTGTAGATTGTCGTACAGCCCACGAATGACGATAAGTTCTTGCCGGTGTATCTATTAATATATTGGGTACATTTGAACTACTGTGAAGATCTTACGTTTGTCGAGAGTTGTACCTGTTATTATATTGGGTACATTTGAACTACTGTGGTTAGAGAGTAGGCCTATATTATTTTCGTAACCTATATTTCGCGTTTTTTGGTAAAGTAGGAAACGTTTCATTGTTGTAGATCGTCGTACAGCCCACGAATGACGATAAGTTCTTGCCGGTGTATCTATTAATATATTGGGTACATTTGAACTACTGCGGTTAGAGAGTAGGCCTATATTATTTTCATAACCCCTATTTCGTGTTTTTTTGGTAAAGCAGTAAACGTTTCGTTGTTGTAGATCATCTTACAGCCTACGAATGACGATAAGTTCTTGCAGATGTACCTATTTATATTTTGGGTACATTTGAACTACTGCGGTTAGAGAGTAGGCTTATATTGTTTTCATAACCCCTATTTCGTGTTTTTTTGGTACAGCAGTAAACGTTTCGTTGTTGTAGATCGTCGTACAGCCCACGAATGACGATAAGTTCTTGCCGGTGGCCCACACGTGTTTTAACTTGCTGGACTTGCCCAGATATAAGACGAAGGAGCGTTTAAGGTACAAATTAATGCAGGCTATCCAACAGACCGAAGGATTCTCTTTGGTGTGATCGGTTGTCGTAATATTTCTTTATTTGACCAGTATGTATATTTTGCATTGTATTTATTTGGATTGTTATCTTGCTAATATATTTTTGAGAAGAATTTCATATTCTATATTTCTTAATAGGCACTAAATATGCTCAGCAAATAAATGTAAAATTTTAAGTATAATCAGAAGCTAAATATGAACGTGTGGGTACGTACCGACTGTGATTTTTTTTAATAGATGGATTTTGTGGTTTAACTTTTAATATTTTGCTATGAATTACACAGTTTTTGGTCAATCAAATGACTTTTAAGAAGGATTGAGATAATTTCAGTATACTTTTTTATTGTAATGTATCACTTTTTATACATTTTTATATAAAAGCGATGAATACAGGTAGGGAATTATCGAGAAGAGATTTATGAAATATTAATTAATTTTATCGTGTGGTTTACATTGTACATGTTTCTTTATATTGTAAAAAAGAATATTTTTCAAAACTTTATATTAGTTTTATTGTGTATTTGGTATATCGTTACCAGTTATTGAAGTTGTAAAAGATTATTTAATAAAAGTTTGTTAGACAATTTTTATTTAACTTCCCGTCCCACGCAGGTAAAATTTTTATTATGCGAATTGGAAAAATATCGGCGAATGAATTTATGATCGATGTAAACGATGACATTTTTAGTACAGTCTTTCATATAAAGGGTAAGTAAGGAGTGACGCCCCAAAACAAGAGGGAGTTTTTTTAATCAAATATTCAAGAGAAAAATATGTGAGATCGTAAGCAGACTAAAATTTACAAAACTTTAAAAAAAAAATTTCTTCGTTTCCTTTATGTTTAGACGTCGTGTGGATTAAAAAGAAATAATTTTTCAAGTCCCAAACGGGTTGTCGCCAATTATTAACACTGACACATTTAAGTGCTTGCAGACGCTTTTCCTCACGTAATAATTTCGTTTTAACGCTCGTTGGAAAGCCAGAGGGTCGCAACGATGTCATTACGAGAACACTCTGTTGGCCCAAAATTACGGTGGTTTTAAAAATTCCGATAGTAATAATTATTAATTACATAAATCAGAAGTGGGATCTGACGATACAATTATGTATATGGAGTGGATGTGATGCGATTGAAACGAAGTTTTCTCCAGGGTATAAGACAATTTACAAGCTGACAGTACATTCAGATTAACAAAAAAAGCTTATTTTTACCTTGTATTTATCGTTACGTTTCCTGGATTTTATACGCATGTTGAACGTGCAAAGAATCACGTACAGTACTAGAAACTTATATCACATCTCGCAGAATTCTTTTAAGCTATTAACACAAATTAATCATAATTGAGTATTTTTACAAAATTATCGATAAAACAGGTAAGGTACATTCAGATGTTTATATGGGTGCCCTGGTGCCATGTTCCTGGATCTGTCACTATGAAAAATTAAAGGAATGTTCATATTTCAACTTTAATACTAAAAGTGAAATTTCTTGTCTATAAAACGCCAGCCGTAACGGTACATTCTATATATTCGTCGTTTTTTAATTTTGAGATCCCCACTTTAACTTTGAATTGCTTATAAAAATATTTATGAGCACGCCACTGGCCCGTTTTCGTTACAGCGTTAAGGTAGCGGTACACCTTGCGTACCCTAGTTTTTCTCGTTTAATCAACAGTTGGTGATAATTTCAATTCAAACAAATTTAACTTTTGCAACTTCAATTTAAAATTATTCTGTTGGCGACCCTGTTTTACCGGCCGCGCGGGCCGCGATTACAAACACAAACATGCATTTGTTTTTTTACTCGTTTTTTTTACAATACTTCGGTATGAAAATGCATCAAGTGATACGAAAAAATCAAATATTTAATAAATCAATAACGCTGTTTTGCTTTGTAACTCGCAGTGTTGTGTTTTAACAATAAGTGCTTGATTGTGGTTATGTTTCGGTTTTCTGTTACAAAGGTTACAATTTGTACAATTTCTACATCTGAAGCTGAAGTAAGTAATGTATATCATCCGAGTAAACAATACACATATACTATGCCGATGAAAATTAAGTGAAACAAGAAACAAGTTTCTGGACATTCGTGGACTTCTTTCGTCGTTGGCCTTTGGCGTTGTCTGTTGGTTATTGATGGTCCATATTAGAGAATTAATGAAAAATTTCACAGGTAAGTGTCAAATAAATATCTTTTAGGTAATTTTGTTACTACTTTATGTATGTATCTATATTTCGGTTGAGTTATTCCCAATTCTAACCAAACACCCCGCCCTCTGGCGGAAATGGCGGAATGTTGGAAATAGTTTGCGCTAAAGAAAACAGATAAAACAGACTTGGGTTTTATGCGAAAATTGTTGTGTTCTTTTTATTTAAAGTTAATTATCTTCGTGAAAATTGAGTTTAACAGCCAGGTACTTAAAGAAGGCACTCCTCAAGGAATAATGTTCTAGCTGAATTGTATGCTGTTTTAAGAAAAATAAATATAGGTAGTTCAAAATGTATTTTCAAGTTTTAAGTCCATTTCTCCTCCTACTATTAACAAATAAGCACTAACTCAATTGTATGTTTCTCATTTATTACACAAAACAATTCTAATAGCTATCACAAATATAAAAATACAAAAAAATCCGTCAATAACCTCAACATATCAATGAAATACGAAATGGTATAAACTAGTGATGACTGATGAGCAATGTTACGCCACCACTAATCGAAGTAACCAAGCTAGTGGCTATCACATTCAACGGCCACTTTATGAAAATCAAAATCGCTGCTTTGGTCGTTCAACCGTATTCGTTCGTTCATGAATTTGAGACGGCACTAGACCTTAGACCAGAGCCTCGCACAGAGCATTTGTGTCTTATTCTTTACCTAAAACCTTTAGGTAGGTACTTTATACATATTTTATAATTTGGATACTGAAGCGATCCTAGAGTAGGATCAAAGTAATAAATCATTGCCTGTCAAGGGATCCAGTGTAGTACGGTTTTAAGGGGTTTAATAATTGAACAATTTTTTTAGGCATTATGAAGGTATGAAAGGATCAGTTCACGTCTGGCACCCCTATTCCTACAAAAATGCCTTTATTCTCAAACTATTTATTTTAAATGTAATTTATTATAAATCAAATTTGTTTTTTAAATTGCACATAGGTACTACATTTTACCTCTGTACGCACCGCTGTTGTTTACTTGATTTTTGGCGGTCTCTGATTTACGACCAAGCTCGCCAGGTTAGTACTTGACGTATAACCGACCACTTCATACACTCGATGCACCTGGGCGACTACAGCTACGACCAGAACACAATGCGTATAGTCTGTGGTGCTTATGAAGCGGTATTTCAGATTTTACATTCAATTTCATTTTAAATTTGAAATGGTTCATCTTAGGCCGGTGTCCCATGCATCCGAAATCCGACGATACGAAGGTCCGAAAGTGTTCCTATTGGTTAATATACATTCAAATTTTTACCGCTCATTTTCATCCGAAATTTTTTAAATTCATACGACGTCGGAAAAAGTAGAAATAGTTTTAACTTTTATCCGAAATCGTATGTTTTTTAACCTCACTTTTTAAGTTTTTAACATACTATGATTGTAGTTTGATATATTTACAGTCAAATAAATGTTATATTATATAACATACAAGAAAATATAATATTACGTATATTTTCTATAATATATACCTATGGTTGTCATTTGAAAATGTTTCACCTTCATCTTGTAATAAATTCCATGGTTCTATTCTTGATTTCTATGAGATTAATTTCGGATGCATGTGAATTATAATATTATCATTTGTACGAATTAAAATATTTTCGGATATCGTACATCGGATTTCGGATGCATGGGACACCGGCCTTTTACTCGTCCTAAAAATGATGGGACGATTTTCCTTTGATAAAAGACCGACAATTTTTTGCTCTACTTTGCATCGAATATGATCCTACTATATGCTATCATATATTTTTAATTTAAAAATTAAGCATTTTACAATTGCTCAAGGAGTGAGGTGAAGGTCCAGAAAGGTTCAGGTCCACTTGTTTGAGTCAAATCTTCACTAAAATATGAAACAGGTTAAGTACTTCATTTTACCTAAAATACATTTAATTTTTCTAAGCTTCTTCAACTTTGTGGAATCAGTCGTTAATTATTTGGTCAATTCATGGTTAACAGTATTGTAAAGTGTATTGTGTAAGTATTGTAAAAATTCAATTAAATTGAATCGAATTTTTAATTCAGGGAGAAATAAAACGAAACCAGAGTTTTTCTGTTTATTTAATTTTCCTGCTGGCGTACATGGTACAAATATATATTACAGAATTTTAAAATGTACATATATATACCTAAAATAAATAACTTTGTGCAAAAAGAGCAAGCCTTCGATTCGATACATTTTTTTTTATTTTAATTTATATTAATAATAATCGGTAAGCGGCTAATCGTTTCTATTAAGTCAAACCCTTTTTTTATTTTATTTTATAACATATATAACTTGGGATAAGACTATTTATTTACATTTCCTCACTATTTTAATATTTTCATAACCATATATTCTTAATGTAAGTATACTGCGTTGGTTAACAAAATATTAACATACAAAGTGTAAGAAAATAGCTAAAATTTTTGGTTAGTTTGGGCTATTGAAATCAGTTCAGCGTATTATCACAAACGAGCATCTTAAAGGCTAATCTTACCGTTCTGAACGGTATTTTGCAAACTTCTTAACTTTTTAGAATCAAGAAATTTCCTAAAATATAGTTACAATTGTTATACATGTTTTTCTTGATTTTATAAACTCAAAAGCTTGCGTTTCAACGACTTTCCAAATAATCTTAGATTAACAACTCTAGATATCGGAAAGTGCGTTACACCGGTCTGAAAAATTGCGTTCCTGGAGGAATTTTGTAGCCAGGATACGTCGAATTCAGAGCATGCTGATTAAAGAATTCTGAGTAATCCTTGTGTGGCCTCAATGGCCTACATGCTGGCCCTTGCGCCAGTTCCAGGCGCAGTCTGTCCTCTTCCGCAAACTGCTGCCTTACACACTCTGGAGGCCATTTAAGGTCTCCTCGGAGATGCTTCCCACCTTGAATAGAAAGGAAACTATCATTACTATCTAAATTCTCCTCGGCAATCTTTCGCTTTACGTCTTCCGGAGGCCATTTTATGTCCCCGCGTAAATTTTTTTTCGAAACTATAAAAGGAGAAAAATAAATATATGTACTAGGGCGTATCACTATATCAGAGGATAGCTTAACTACTTGCTTCTACTACGGCAATTAGAGAAAGTTAGATAAATTTTGTGCAGTTACCTTACTAGCTGTGATCTGAGTATTAATTTTTTAATACAACTAATACCCTTGAGCATATAGAAAGAACTGAAATATTTCTGGAGCTTGGTAGAAAAAGGTCCAATGTCCAAAAATTACATTTAACAGCCAATGAGTCTCCTGGACTACCCATGTTACATATTTGCATAACAAAAAGGGCCAATGTCAACAAGTATTATAAGCCTTAATTATTTAAATTTTAAAATGGCCCAAGTCCATCTTAGTTTAATAGAAAAAGAGCCAATATATGGACTTTGGTCCTTGAAATACTTTTAAAACATTTGACAAACGACCAATGTCCAATGCAATGGACATTGGCCCTTTTTCTACCAAGCTCTAGATTTAACGCAGTCTAGGCCTACATGTAGATGACACCATAATCAATACCATGTTGCTACAGTTGGGTACTGCTTAATGCCAATCTCATCTGTATGCGACCAGCCTAAACGTCCTAACACCTCGGCAACTGCGGGCATTGTAAATCTTATTTATCTGCTCCCACTATTTAAGGAGGTAAGTGGATTTTACCGTACAAGTGGAAGTTGCTATGGACAACGGGAGGTAAGCGAGGTAACTTACCTCCCTAGGGAAAAAAGCGATTTCGAGATATAAATTTTATGAACAAATAAATAGAAATATTTCATGAACATTACATTTTATTAATTGTTATAAATGAATATTTATAGTAATTGTACAGTTATTACATTTAGTAACATTTATAAAATCTGGATAATTATTCCCCTCGCGTTTACTAATTGTCACATTTTTCTCAAAATGATTTGACCGCTCATTTCAGCCACCGGAGGCTCAATATTATGTGACTGATCCATTAAAACAGCATGATGCGATGTACTACTAGAACTTGGAGTTGAAGTGTCATTATAAAGAATCCTGTTGGCTATTTCATTTTTGTTGCTTAAACTGTCAGCAACATAACTTTCTGCAATTGTGGCTGATTTCCACCCACCCTGTCTCTTGATTGCTATAGTCTGTTTGGAAATGAAAGAAAGTAATAAAACCCCGAGATAAGAACCGGCCATGGGCGTGGTAATATTTCGTACACATTTTATTTTAAAAAATAAATACCAACGCTAAACAAAATTTTAAGTGAACTTTCAGAGGACAACGATTTGTCAAAAATCAGTAGAAGCAAATTATGGGCCGTCTTACGAGAGTTAAATTTTTGCTGGGAAAAGCAGAACAGGAAGTCAGTTCTTATCGATAAAGATGAAATTATTTGTTGGCGAAGATCCTACTTAAGATCAATTAGAAAATTCCGTGACGAAGGGGAGGAATATTTATTATCTAGACGAAACTTGGGTCAACGAGGGATATACTGTAACAAAAGTATGGCAAGATAAAAATGTAAAAAGTTTTCGACAAGCATTTTTGGATGGACTTTCAACAGGGTTCAAGGCACCTTCAGGTAAAGGGCGAAGATTAATAGTGACACATATAGGTAGTGCCAGTGGTTTTGTAGATGGCGGTTTACTTTTATTTGAATCTAAAAATACAGGTGACTATCACGAAGACATGAACGCAGATGTTTTCGAAGATTATTTTACACAGATGTTAGATCTTATTCCTCCGGGGTCTGTAATTGTCATGGATAATGCCAGTTACCATTTACGGCAGACCGAGCGGACGCCTACGACTGCTTGGAGGAAAGCCGATATAATTCAATGGTTATCCGGAAAAAACATTTCTTTTGAACCAAATATGGTGAAAAAGGAACTTTTGACACTTGTCAATCTTAATAAAGATCAGAAAAAATATGTTATCGATGAAATGGCAACAAATCGCCAAATAACGGTACTACGGTTACCACCTTATCACTGTGAACTTAACCCAATCGAATTCGTCTGGGCGCAGGTAAAAAGGAGATGTAGCGCGAAATAATACGTTTAAATTAAGTGACGAGAAAATTTTGTTAAAAAATTCCTTGGAACGAGTAACTGCAGATAACTGGCAAAGATGTATACATCATGTAGAAAAAGAAGAGGAGAAAATGTGGGAACTCGATAATTTAATTGACGTTACTGTGGAACCGATCGTTATCAATCTAGGAGACGAAGATAATTCATCAGAATATTCAGAGGATGAATTTTAATATACCTACTTTTTTATTTTCTTCATTGTACATTTATACAACACTACATTTACTCACCATAATTTGAATTTTCAAAATACATATATTTTTGTGTGGAATAAAAGTTTATTCATTAAATTTAAATAAATATTTTGATAATAATATTGAATAACTTTATTTGAATTACTAAAAACCCTCTTAACCCGGTTATGATGCTTAAAGTAGCCTCATGTTTTGAAGTGTTGTTTTTATATTGTTTACTTATAAGAGAAATGGACCGAGAAATTGAAGCGGCATAGACAAAGACGGATTGTCGGGGATTAAATTTTAGCTACCTGCTACAATTTAGTACAGTCCGATCCCACAAAGTTTTTTTAAAAGTACACCTCATCTATACGGAAAATACATAATATAAAAATATTGAATATAAGCACCAGTACTTATGTTCTGGCACCATTCTTTGAAATTTCTATATGCTCGTCCGTAGCGCACTTTCGACTTCTCGGGCAATAAAAATTGGTAGGCAGCATTTGCTGCAATTTCTATTTGAAAATCACTAATTTAGAAATAATAATTCAAAACTAGCAAAATTGCAACTTTTATGTAGTTTTGTTTATAAACACCTTAGAAACTACAAAATCCAAACAACCAAGACGACTTTGCAAGATTTGGAATACATAATGTCAAAATGAACTGATTAAGAAATGTCAAAAAATAAAACCTAATCTTTATTTCATGGACAATTAGGAACTGTGGGAGCAGATAAAATGTTATACACCACGCAGCAGTTAAGTATAATTTACCAGTCTCGGACTCTATTGCCAGCCCTCGCTCCGCTCGGGCGCAGAATCATCTTCGATTGGTAAATAATACTTATCTCCTTTATGGTGTAAATAATTATTGTTCTTCTATATACTCAAAGGCGGTTATTAAGAAGGATCTGCGCAGTATGTTAAAGAAGTGCATTTTTTATTGTGATAAAACATTCCTTAACATGCCCAGAGGGTGATCTATTAGAATACGGCAAAATCTTAACAGGACAGTCTACAATATAAAAGCCCACTTGTAAAATTTCAGCATACTCAGAGCTCGTTAATTCAATTTTTTTCCCTTAATTTCCAAGTTGTATTCGACTGAAGTGTATATCTTTGACGCTCTCATTTGTTTTATCTTTAGTTTATTCAGTGACTTGGGTAAAAAGTACGCTCGTATTAGATAAAATTGTGATGCAAAATGTAACAATGTAATTTTTTACTCATCACACACGAAAAAAATACCCATCGGTTGGAATTATCATAGAACAAGGTGCAGAAGATTATTTTTGGAAATCGTTTTGATCCCTACCATTATAACACCGAAAAGATCTTAGAACCTACGTTAGCAGAGAACAATACTTAGTTTAATTGAAAATGCCAAACGTAATTCGTGAGCAACGGGACTAATGTGATCGCAAACCGATGATCTTTGCTGATCACTCAAATTTAACTGACAAACCTTGAAAAAAGGGTTCCTATTCCATATGTTCTTAAGCAAATGAATAATATCGCATGTATTTGATTTCTATTAGCGCTTATGAGTATTTCTCGGTGGTGACATACGTCCTTTTAATTTTTGCCGTTTTCAATTAAATCACCCTGTATGTTTTTACACGATGAGCACCGAAGAAATAAAAGTTTACTAACCCTTTAAGGTAGCCGTGGCTGGTTGTGATGTAACAAGTGGTGGAGGTGCCTGGCTCACTGGAGCCTTGGGGCGAAGAGTGATGGTTGTGGGCGGTGGTGGTTGCGCCTGTTTTGAAGCTGGGGCTGCTCTTGGTGCTACCTATAAGCACAAGGGTAGATGTGAAAAGATAATGTTGTCTAACAAGAAATATTAATAACACAAATTGATGAATATTTAGAGATCAGTAGAAGATATGAGTTTTATAAAATAAAATGATTTAAAGTAAATTTACTTGAGTGTAACTAGAGCAGAAATAACGACTGACCTTGACAAAATTCTAAAATAGTTTGCTTCATTTATCTCCGCTCTACTTTGATGTATTTCAAAGACAACGTTTATTATTTCGTTAATAATGATAAAAAATAATCAAGCATTCACGCGTTACCAAGTTTATTATTTCTGGAGAAATTTCAAAAGAGATTCTCGGCAACATTAATAACAGAAGTAGCAACCTATTCACATCCACAACTGAAACTTTGATTATTTCACATGACGTTCATACTCATTCCGAAAAGCAAGCAATTATCTTTTCTAGAATTATTCTCATCCGAAAATAAATTACACATCATATAAAACTTCAGTTACAGCGACGTATTAGTAGCTCAAACAATACCACCTAGTAGTGTTAGTCAATATAACCAGGTACCAAGTAAACCTATACTTTCCATCCCAAAAAAGTCATACCTGAGATGGAGCAGCTGCTGGTTTAGGAGCAGATTGAGAGGGTTGGAAAGCCTGGTTTTGTTGGGTAGAGGCTTGATATTGTTGGGTAGAAGCTTGATATTGTTGTTGGGTAGAAGCTTGATATTGTTGAGGAGAGGCTTGATATTGGTGTTGGGAAGTGGCTTGATATTGCTGTTGGGGAGGAGCTTGATATTGTTGTTGGGGAGGAGCTTGATATTGCTGTTGGGGAGGAGCCTGATATTGTTGTTGAGGAGGAGCTTGATACTGTTGTTGGGAAGGAGCCTGATATTGCTGTTGGGGAGGAGCTTGATATTGCTGTTGGGGAGGAGCTTGATATTGCTGTTGGGAAGGAGCTTGATATTGTTGTTGGGGAGGAACTTGATATTGCTGTTGAGGAGGTTGGTACTGTTGTTGGGGAGGTTGATACTGTTGCTGAGGAAGTTGATATTGTTGTTGGGGAGATTGGAACTGTTTCTGAGGTTGATATTGCTGTTGGGATTTTTGTTGGGGAGGTTGGTATTGTTGAGAGGACTGGTACTGTTGGGTGGTTTGGTATTGCACTTCAGAGGAAGGAAGGTACTGCTGTCCTAGAAAGGTTTGCTGAGAGACAGATTGATGAGCAGTCTGGTAGCGAGTGGTAGAGGAGGCGGTGGAAGAGGTGGACAGCTGATGTTGGAGTGGGGGGTGTTGCGTGGTGGAAGTGGTGGACTGCTGATGTTGGACTGGGGGGTGTTGCTGCCAAGAGGGAGGGCTGGGGGTGGCAACAGGAGACTGCACTGGGGCCCACCCTTTAGCAGGAGTGGAGGGTCTGAAGCCGTGTGGACTCTGATTCAAGAGAGGGGAAGACAGTGGCGACGAACTACCGGTCGAAACGTCAAGGGGCTTCAATGGGCGGTTTGTTGGTGGGTTAGAGGAAACCGAACGTTGTTGAGCGGGTGCTTGGTAGTTATTCTGCTGAAAGCCGGGTGACTGTGAGGAGATTTGAGGTCCACCCTATTAAAAAATAATAAAGGGGTGTTTAAAAACGTTACGGTTCGATCGAAATTTGGCCGTTTTTATTTGATAAATAGAGCAATATGAAGTTTCAACGTTTATTTCATTTAAGAACACCTACATCCGACATAAACAGACGCGTTTAAAATTGTTTTATGTTCCACAGCACATTTGATTAATAGAGCAGTTACATAAATGCTCTCGATCATTCCAAGAGACATCACAACAGTTCAGACCAGCAGGTTAGTTTGTGTGTGTGTAATATGTAAAAGTTTCATCACGTTTCTTTGCCAGCACATATTGCTCCAGTTATATTGATTTTATTTTCTTACATCGAAAGCCACTGTTTTGTACTAACTAAATATGAACATATTTTGAATTTCATTAAGTCAATTGATATATTGATCGCAAACTTATAAATATTTTCTGAACGTACTCCAAAGCAAATTTACAACACTAATATCCAGACAAAAAACAACCTACGTTACAAAAAATCTCAAAGTAGTGAACAGAAATTTCTTGATTTTACCTTTTATAAGACTGAATACGATGAAAAATTATAACTGAATTTTCTAAATGTTATACTTTAGATAGTAAATATTCACAGCAACCAAGAGAAATTAAGAAATATACACTAGTGATTCACTAGTTCACAAAAAAATTGAAAGTGATTTGCATCGGTGACTCATTTTTACAGTGTACGGAAAAAAATGTTACTCAGGATGCCCTACATATCGCATTATTCACTCCTGGTTGTATCATCTGTTGAAAATATATCCTTCCCTCTTGGTTACTGTGTGCCAAGCATGCTATTAATAATAAACCAGTCGGTAATATTAATTTGAAAACCGTTCGGTTGCAAAACAAGCAAAATGGCACAATTACGAGGATTGCACCAGAAATATCGTAACAGACTACAGTGCCAACAGGGTCAGGGGGTATCTTGGATGTTATTCCTGCTTACCTGTGCAGATACTGAGTTCTGTTCGACGTAGGGCGAGTCCGATCCTGACTCGCTCGGGGGAGGCCAAGCTACCCTTTTTGCACCTGGAAAAAAGTTACAAATATCGTAAACGAATTTAAAAAATACCTAATTGGATTTTGAACTGGCCCAAGAAAGGCAATCATAAAAAAAAATATTACCTAAATCTGGACGAAAAATTCTAGTCTGCTTTTTTAAAAATAACAATGATTCAGTGAAGCAAACAAGCAGAACTTTGTTTGTGACCAAATTCTACAAACTCACATGGAGAAAAAACATTTCGAGTTATTTTTTGGTATTTATCGCATTTTCGTCATTTTCGTTAAACGCTATCAACAAGAGATAATTACTACAGGCAAACCAATTAACAAAAATATTTCCAATTAGCTTTTGACCCGACATTAATCACTTTTGTCATTTTTATGCCAAGAACGCTGTTAAAATATTTGTAGTAATTAATTTTTGAAAATGGGCCAAACGGTACACATATTACAGCTTGGTAAAAATAGTTGTTTCAGGAAAAAATTTAAGCATTTATTAACAAGGCATTTATGCAAAATTATTTTTTATTTTTTATTAATAAGGCATTTATGCAAAAAGTTCTTAAAAATTTTGAATGGATAAGAATCTACCAATTTTTTTATTGATTTACATATACAGGAAAGCTTATTAATTTTTTGTTCAGACCACCTCTGTGTTTAGATATTCTTCGTTTTTGTAAACAATTGTTAATATTAGCTATGGCAGTTAAAATGACGTAAAATCCTAAAACATTGCATTCCGATAAACGTATTCATCGCGACGAGGTGTATTATTACACAATTCTTTGCCAAATCTCAGGTACTAGTACTATTTTATGACATTACTATTCTGGTATATCCTGCAGTCTCACGCGCATACAAGATTTGGCGCCCAACGCGGTGCACTATTCATGTGTAATCGGAAATATTGTATAATATAATCAAGTTAACTGTTAAAAAGCACCAACAATGTTCGTTTAGCCAGGTCGCATAAATAGTAATTAATTTTTTTCACGGTTATTCACGCCCTGACAAATGCGGAACGCTGTAAACACGGTTATATTTAATTTGCCAAGATTATTATTAATACAACCTCGCCTGGATACTGTGCTATAATTTGGTTAGTTTCAGAAAATTTACACGGCAATAAATTTGCATAATGGTTTCCGAAAATATACTAATTGCTGTTGATGTATTTACTTTACCGAAATGAAAAATGACCAGATATTAATATGCAATGAATTAAGTATGTCTTGATCGTTTAACCGGCGTTTTCCAACAATTTGTTTCATTTCATATGATGCTAAAGCAAGGTGGATCTTGGCTTTACAATATGTCACGTTTTCTGTTGATTCCGAGATACTGACGCGATATTTCAAACACGTTTGGTTCAGATTGGTAAATATCCATAAATCTGTAGTTCTTTCAGAAAAATAAAAATCTTGTGAGGATGTTCGAAATCTGTCAGTGCCGAAAATCAAAAACATAACCGTTATGTAAACGCTACTTGAAATATTTGTTTTTACTTGAAATAAACATGTCATCCTTATAACAAAAATATAACATTTATTATACAAAATATATTCCCAACAAAAATAATATATTACATTTAGTGGCAAATAGGTTGTAATCGAGGTTGTAAAAATACTATTACAGTTTGTCTTAAAAAAATTAGCACATTGAAATTAGAACAAAAACACGTGCTCATGCAAAAAAGTATGTACAAAAAGCATGTTTAAAAAAATGAGCTGATACTACAGGGTTTTTCTTTAAATTGTTTACTGAATAATTTGTAGGTTAGAAAAGTTAATAGTTGAGTTGTGCTTCTATTTTTTTTATCGAGTATTTTTGCTTGTCTTTTTTCGCAATGGAACATGCAGGGTGTCCCTATTTATAGGTGTACAGTCTGCTACAATAATAAATAAAAAAACAAACAAAAGTGAAATATTTTTTATTTAATTTGAAACGAAAAAATTGCTAATACAAAAACTGACATTAAAAAAGTCGTAGCAGGCTTAGAATTTTCAATTTAGAGGAACATTTTTAAGTAATTATTTATTTATTGACTGCAAAATACAAAATAAATACCTATATAGGGATGAAAACATTAATTGTTTTTATTTAAGTGAATTTTAATTTTTTTTATATAAAGAAATTCTAAACAGTCATTTCAACATTCGCATTTTCATCTCCTGACAAATTGTCTGTGATTAATTCTGATAGCATGACAACTTGACGAAAAAATCTAATCGGTACGTTATTTTTGTCTGAAATGTTGCCCACCTTCATCACTTGGGTAGCGAACAAATTTCTAAAACTGGACAGGTGCTAAAATCACACCGTGACACAAAATAAAACTTTCTGGCATCTAAACCGAGATTATTCAGTAAACATTACCCAAAAACTAACCCTCAAAAAATTTTTTGCTCGGAATAAATGTATAATTTGCTGCTGCTCAAACAAAAAAAGCGCAACGCCACTTCGTTTCCCTAGCTAAAAAAAATCACTCACTTTAATCAAAAAGAAAACACTTGGACACTTGTATTAGCACAACATGTAAGAGACAAGGAAATCAGAAACTCCCGCTCGCAGAACTGACGAAATCTGAACGCGGAAATTGATAAGAACAGTGCCGTACCGCGGATCGGCACCCCTAAAGGCTTTAACAACCGCGGCTGGAGTGGGAGAAGACAAGAAACAACGCAGGCGCATTCACAACATCTGCTGCGGTTTACCTGGAACGACCACGTCTTTAAAAGTCGACCTGAGACTGTTCTTATGCTCGTACTCCGGTGGCGGCCATGTTATGTTTTCTCGTAGGGGTTTCGCCGTGTTGTAGTTACCTATGGAACGGTTTTTGGATATGACTAATCTGGCTTACACCGACGACTATAATCACTCATAGTTTGGAAATAGAACTCTGAATGAAAATCTGAAGTAAAATTAGAAGGACTATCGCTTGACATGTGGAGGTAGCGCAACATAAAATATCGGACATGGATGAGCATAAAATAGATTATGCCGTAATTCTCGACCAGGGCGATGTGGGAATGACAGCTTTTCGTGAATGTTACATACGCGTATGTTGTGTTGCCTAACAGGTGACGTTACGGCGTAAGCTATTCTATTCGTGCTTAGTGCATCGTGGGTTGCATAGTGCAACGTTAAACATTTAATAAGTCCGTTACAGTACGTGACAGTTGAAAAATGTAACTCCTCGCTTGTTGAATGTGAATGTTAATGGAAGTTAAGTTCTTAATTAAAGATGCCATGAAAAATTAATGTAGTTGCTTGATTTTAGTGATATACAGGGTGATTCATTAACAATGGGAAAATCGAAAGCAGAACTACACGTAAAATGGTGACCATTGACGCAAATATGCCTTATCCGAAAGTTGGTAGTTTCGGAAATACAGGGTGTTGAAAGTAAAAATTTTAAATCGTTTTTTTTGCGATTATTCTGAAACTATGTGGGTTAGGAACTTGAAAATTTGTGAAACTATATTTTTTTAAGCGACGAATAAGATGCGTGTTGTAAATTCAGCGTTGGTAATAGAGGGCGCCACTTACGACCAATTTTACCGAAAATTTAGTTAATAATTTTTTACCCTGTATGTCTAATATGAAACTTGATTCAAAACCTGAAAGAGCAATCATTTTTCCATTAATTATATATTCTTATTTCATTTCGGTATCTCGATCCGTTTTCGAGAAAAATCGATTTATCGAACACTATGTCTTGATGATACGAGAAATTAAAAGCGAAACAAACTAAGTGTTTCTTCATGTTATTACAAAACAAATGAAATACGTAATAATAATTTAAAGTAATAATTGTTCGAAGAATCCACCATTGACAGTGATACACTTTACACAACGTTTTCTGAGATATCTTCAGGTTTGAAACAACATATTGGGATTGCGTCTGACTTCGCTGGCAACGATTCGTGTTCTTTGGCACAACTCTTCACACGAACCAATAGATTCTTTGTAAACTATATCTTTCATTCAAGACCAAAAAGAAAAATCAATAGGATTGAAGTCCGGATTTCTGGGTGGACAAGCAAAAATGCTTACATGGCCAATCCAGCGATTTGGAAAAACTACATTTAAATATGCACGCACTGGCCGAGAAAAATACGGTGGAGTTCCGTCATGCATGAACCACATGTCTCTTCTTAAATAAAGTAGAACTTCTTCAAGCCGTGGAAGCATTTTTGCTTGGCCACCCAGAAGACCAGACTTCATCCTCTTGATTTTTCTATTTGGCCTCGAATGAAAGATATCGTTTACAAAGAATATATTGGTTCGTATGAAGACTTGTGGCAAAAAATACAAATCGCTGCCAACGAAGTCAGACGCAATCCCAATATGTTGTTTCAAACTCGAAGATCTATCAGAAAACGTTGTGTAAAGTGTATCAGTGTTAACGGTGGATTCTTCGGACAATTACTGTGAGTCATTATTAAGTAGGTATTTCATTTGTTTTATTGATAATTGTTGTAATAACATGAAGAAACAACTTAGTTTGTTTCGCTATTACTTTCTCGTATCAAAACATAGTGTTCGTTAAATCTATTTTTCTCGAAAACGCATCGAGATACCGAAATGAAACATGGGTACATAATTGATGGAAAAATTATTGCTCTTTCAGATTTTGAACCAAGTTTCATATTAGACATACAGGGTAAAAAGTTATTAACTAAATTTTCGGTAAAATTGGTCGTAAGTGGCGTAAACTTTCGGATAAGGCATGTTTGCGCCAATGGTCACCATTTCACGTCTAGTATCTTCAGCTTTCGATTTTCCCATTGTTAATGAATCACCCTGTATAACTAATGAAAAACTGAAATCGCGATGGAAAGTATGTGAATATTATTCATGTTAGAATATGAAATATAAAAGTTCCTTGTCCCGAAGCACAAAAATTAGCATTAAAATTAAAAAAAAAACTAAATGACGTCAGTTTGATGTACACATTTTGGCAGAAACTGTTATTTTTGATGTCCTTAGCAGTTGGATTAGTGATGCCGTGGAAAATAGGTATTCTGAGTCACTGAAATGTGATTCAAACGATGCATGAATTGGATTAGAGCCGAGTGGGATCAGTTTAAACGAAGCTAAACGTTATAGAAGGCTCAGATGATGAAAAAAAATGATTTCCACACTTTTATATATAACGGTATTAAAAAAACATTTAAAAGTATCACATGGAGTCATGATTTTCCAGTCTATTGTTAGGGTGTGACAAACTTAGTTGCATGGAATTTTCACGAGTTGTTACAAATTAATTGAAGCCACGGTTGTGGGTGAGATTGAAGCTTGAAAATGACAAAAAAAAGTGAAAAATATTAACGTCCTTAAGTCCTTACCTGGTCCAATTCCATTTCGTTGTCGATTCTCTTCTTCCTCCAGCATCCGTAGGACTGCGGAGTTTTTGAGATTGGCGGGTTTACCCACATTGGGATTGTTGAAGTTGATGCTGAAAACAAAAGCCGGTACAGACGTCTGTCACTTGATTTTACGATATAACACATCATCTAACTATTTCAAAAAGCAGCACCTTGAGAACGCATTGATGAAATTGAACAGCCTGTCCATATTTTACTATGTACTTGCAACTAGAGTTTACCTTATTAAAATCTATACTAGCCCGCGTTCTAATGGTGTGTCAAATTCTATATTTAGCAGGCATTTTTTACAGCGTGGGAAAATAAAAATTGTTATAAATATTCCATTATTTTTATTCAGTATAATTATGTAAAACATGAACGTAAAATATTTAATTTTCCAAAAACTGGCAGGCACCTAAAGAGTTGTAGAAGGGTTAAGATTTGCAATCATGAGGAAATTTTATTTTACAAAAAATATTTGTGTGTTTCATTTATTATATTAATTGTTTCTGTACCTATAAATCCAAACACGCTCTATCTTAGTGAAATTATTTTGTCTAAACCAAGTCTAGACAATTTTCGTCGTTGTAATTTAATATGCCGCTACAATAAATAAGTTTTTTCGTATTTAAAGGACTTTTTTAGAGATTCATTGCAGATGGGTTTGTACAATTCTAGTTTATATACAGATTCGGAAAGTCCCCATGGTACATCGGCCTTTACGTGAAAGCGATAAAGTAAGTCATAGAAATCCGTGCGATAGACAAGGATGGTTATATTGAAGACGTTTCATAATCTGAATAGTCACTCTCACTTCTAACCCGAAACGTGCGATGACTATTCAGATTATGAAACGTCTTCACTATAGCCATCCTTGTCTATCGTACGGATTTATTTACTTTACTTTGTCGCTGTCATGTAAAGGCAGATGGACCATGTGGATTTTCCAACCCTGTATACAACTCCCTTTTGAAAAAAAAAATGTAACGTTATTGTTGATGTAATAATTATCCAAATCATGTTTTCTGTGGAGATATATTTTAACTGCACTGTTCATATTTTTTTACTACATTTTCGTTTTGAATTAAAATTTTATGCAGTTGAAGAGGTTATACCGAGATATATGCATGCTCAAATTGTTAATAATAATCTATTAGTTCCAAAATTATGGTTGAGTAAGTTTACGTAACTTTATTACTTACAAATTTGCTACAAACAGCGTGAAACACACTGTATATGAAATATCAAGATTAGATTAGTATTGGCTAAATAATTCATAGTTTTTGGAAATCTGCTTTATTTGTAAATAAATATAGATGCACATTAAAGCAGTATTTGCAGTATTTTCCTTTCAGTTTCATACTACATACAGGGTGTGTCTTTAAGTAGATTTCTTCCATAGCTCTGGTAATATCAACAATACGAAAAAGTGTTTTAAATAAAAGTTAAACCAAATCGATTTTGTCACAGTTTAAAATTATTTTCTACTATACAGGTGTCACGTTTCTTATGGACATTACCTAACTTCATTATCTCAAATGAAACACCTTGTCAGTTATGTTTTTTTATTGTTTGTTGAATTTAAAGCCTTCTTTGATAAACAACTATTGGGTCTAAAAGATCAAATAACTTCGAAATTAAACAATTTACTTTTTTCATAATTTGTTCAAGCATAAAAAAATTTCTGCATTACTTTCTTAGTACCTGTTAAAAGTTTAAAGATTTCGGTCATGGGTATTTTGATTTTTTCCAAATGCGATCCTAATACTCCTGATTTCGTAAGTAATTTCATTTTTTTAGTACTGTCTGCATTTTTAGATGATTTAATTCACTTTTAATTTAATTGAGGTATGTTTAGGTCTACAGGGTAGTAAAGTACCGATGGTCTCAAATAAGATCCACTTCTTATTTGTGGAAGGGCGAAATGGGCGGTGACTATTAGACGCCTTCACTATACCCATCCTTGTCTATCACATGGATTTCTATGGCTTACTTTATCGCTCTCACGTAACTTCAGATAGACCATCGGTACTTTCCTACCCTGTATATTATACAATTTTTGTGGTGTTCGTGGTTTCGCACATTGAAAAATGGATGCCAGACAATAATAGGATCTTCAATACCAAGATAGAACGTGAAAGTGATGTTTGATTGTCGTTAAATGTATTGGTTGCCTAAATATTAGAGAAATAATTGTACAAATAATTGTTTTACTATGTTAAAGGTACATATTAGCTAATTCAATTTAAAAATTTAAATTGTTTTCTGAACTCGTAGCAAATGAAGTCAAAATGAATTTGTACGAATTAGCCTAATACTTTTAAAATAGAGTAAAAAATTCGAAAGCTAATAATAAAATATATGTTTTTTAATAGAAGTTTAATAAAAAGGGAAAATATTTTTTTGGGTGGAGAAACATATTCATCGCTTTTGAAATTATCGTTTCTAAAAATGTATTTTTTTGAAAAACTGATGTTTATATATAATTTTTTTTCTGTTAATATTTTATTAATTCTATGCAAGAAGAAAGGCTACCTGACGTAACAGTAAAATGTGGAAACAAAACTTCTTTGTAGTAGCTTTTTTTTACCCGATTAGATAACAGTAAATTTCTTTTCAAAGCAGCAATAATTATTCTTATTAAATCACACATGGACTTAAAAATGCGTAGTAATAATAAAATAATAAAAGAAAAACATGCAAAATTATTAGAAAAACACTAAATAGATTTACAGTAATAATTTAGGCTGTCAAAGGGAGCTGCAATTCAATGGTGTGCCGAGACATGCGTAATCCGCTGCCAATAATGCTTTTTACGTTCATGTCACGTTAGTATACTGTTGCATTTGTTATCGTGCGGATGTTGCGTAATTAATTCCTATCCGTTAGTGTTTATGGTGGTATATTATTGTAGACAATTTAATTTGTTGCTTTTTAATAAATAATGCGTACGCCTTTGTCCCGCGGCTTAGTTCTGACAGCCCTAGTAATAGTTATTAAAAATTTTATACGATTTTTTAAGTTTTCGTCAACACTCAGATGAACAATTTCGGGTGTAATATAAAGTAGTTTTGAAAACCTTGCTTAAATTTTCAGTACGATCATTGGCGAATAATTAATTATTATCAAAGACACAAAGGTAATTTTTGCTTTGAACGACGATAACTCACCGAAAAAAACATTGTACAAAGCTCTTGAACAGCTCAAATAAAAGAGGATGAATCAAACTAAAAGAGGTGATGGGTGGAATAGTAAAAAAATATATTGAAGTCCGTGGAACTTTTGAAAGAGATACAAAAATCTAAAAAAAATCCTCTTATTATTTCTTTTGATTTCTTGTGGCCGACGATAAAAAATTTAGACCTTCTGATCTTGAACCTAGAAACTTCAAGCTTTGATTTGATTTTTTTTATTGTTTTACGACCATTTTTCGCCAAAATACAGCGTTTTGAAAATCACCCTAAAAATTTAGGATTTTTTTTTAATCTTCAATTTTTGTAACTAGTGTATATAAAAGCTTGAATTTTGAGATTTTGCATCTTAGATTTCGTACATTTTGTTGAATCCTAACAACTGAAAATCAAATTTTGTAAATAGGCAATTAGTCGAATTCGTTTATGTGGAAAATGTTGACTTAAAATATTAATTTTACTATTTCGGATAGGAAGCAGTGCTATGTGACATCAATTTTTAAAGCTATAACAGTGACAAAAAAATATTAAAAATCTCGAATCTATCGCAAACTATAAGACTTAGGCCCTAACATACTTTAGTAATTAAATTTCACATCCGTTGGTGTTTTAATTAATTTAACATCGGATTTGATCAAGGTAGGTCGTATATTCAACAACGAATTCAAAAATGCAATAATAATATCAAGGCTAATATGATTAGTTTTCGAAATATTTGAAAAAAAAAAACGAAATTTTGGAAATCCGTTTTTGTTTCATTTCAGTCTTGTTTGAGGTGGTATTGTAAAAAGAACGGCATAATCAATTTTTAAATGTAACGTTTCGCCTCCAGGACCATACGACCCTAGAAATTTTATTACATTTTTTGCAAGCCTTCATGACCCCCAATACTGTACTGCCTCAGTACGAACCAGATTCCGACGTTTTGTCTCGGAAAATTCATCTTCAGTGTATTCGTTCCAAATTTATCTAAATTTTTTATTTAGATTATTTTTTATTTATTGAATTATCGTACGCTGTAAGTGCCGTTAGACCTATTTAAACTATCACCACCACGCGTTACAATAAAACATTTATTATTATTAACTATTACCATCACTTGGTCATACATAACTTAATAAGTTGTTGCGTCAAAATTAAAACATTATTACAGTTTTAATTTTATTATGACAAATTAATTCTTGAAAATGCATATGAACAACCAAAACGCCAACTGAATATAATCCTTTAAAAAATTTCAGTAAATGTTCAAAAACATTTTCGTTTTGGCAAAGGTTGAAAATGGAGATCAGCGTAATATTATCGGAATTTATTATATCTGTAATTGCAACTGTGAAAGAGCATGTCAGATGCATTTGTATGAATATCCTGAAAAAAATAGATAGGAATTTGTTTGAATTTTGAGCACTCGAGAAGCCTAGAAATAACTATGGAATAATGTTTTATTTTAATGCGTGGTGGTAATAGTTTAAATAACTAGATGGATTTTACAGGCTTTAACGAGAGTTACAGTGTACGATTATTCAATAAACATAGAAATCTAAATAAAAAATTTAGATAAATTTGGAACGAATACACTGAAGATGAATTTTTCGAGACAAAACGTCTAAATCTTGTGTTGGCTAAAGCAATACAGTATTGGGGATCATGATGGCTTGCAAATAATGTAATAAAATTTCTAGGGTCGTATTTAAAAAAATGAAGATGATGATGGTCCTGGAGAGATGAAACGTTACATACAAAAATTGATTGTGCCATTCAATAGGAGGCCGAAATGAAACAAAAACGGATGTCCAAAATTTCGTTTTTTTTTTCAAATATTTCGAAAACTAATCATGTTAGCCTTGATTTTTTAGAGGCATAATGTTGGTCCCCTGATTACGCAACTTTGCCCCCAT